AATACATGAATGCGATGAGTTGTCTAGCAAAAGGTTGATTATGATTGCAATTGTCTATTGCAAGATTATTGGGTAAAAATTTCATCTTTCTCCATTTTGTCCCTATTAACGTGTGCATTATACGAAAATTCAATATTTTCATGAAGAGGCTGAGAACGTCGAAGCCATGGTTGAACCATGGTCGAAGCTGTGTGGTATTGATCGTCTACGCATTATTCATCACTAGTTGGAACGATTGCGAGTTGTGTGGTGTTTGCTCATATCATATAGTTCTCGGAATGCCAGTCATGATCAATGCCTCTTAATTAAATAGGTGACTCAAATACGCCCTCCGAATATGCTCAATTATAACATCTGTTGAGTGACAATAGTAATTGATCCCAGCATCAGTGGCCTCTGAACTCCGAGTGTCAACAATGCAATCAACTGGGGACAACACATGACACCTCTCACAAATGAGTCTAGTCTGACTGTCTGACTTGTACTTCTGTTCTGAACTTCTGATTGCTGATTCGAGTACTTCAGTGTGCGTCGAGCAGCGTGCGAGTGTGGATGTGCACGCGCGTTTCACCTGATCAACGCTGTGGAGATTTCAATGCTAATGGCGATGCTGCCGTCCTGGTTGTGCATGCTTAAATATATTAGCAGACGTAGCCAGTACTGTTACTAACAATTAACTGTGTTTGGAAAACATGCAGCATTTTATCCATCGTATGATGAAAGGACATTATCGGGCATTTTACGAGGACTAAGGATCTTTTCTGCTGAAGCGTAGAGATTGCAGCGTGCAGGGAATAACTTGACGGATAGAACGTGTGCTTGCCGATAAAAGTAGACTTAATTATTCACATTGTTAAATTATTTTGCAATTGCGGTAGCCGTGAGCTTGGCGTCTTTTTTTTGAAAGACTGCGTGCAAGGTCGTTCGGGATAGTGCCGTGAGTACTGATTGGATAATTAATTTCATCTGTGGAATGTGGTAGGTAAGTATAATTAATTGCAGTTCGGTAGGTAAAATGTCTCGCTTGTTTTTCTAAAACTTACTTGGACGGACAACTAAAGGAAGGATAACTGGCGAATCAGCATGAAACGATTTTTCCAAGCACACAGCTTTGGAACCGATTAGTTTCCGGTGTATCGTCTAGCATTTTGTTTGACTGATCATGCATTAGCAAAAACGCTCCAAGTATTTTATTCCATTATGTTGCTTTTCTACGAAAAACGTATACGTATCAGAGCAGACTAAGCTTTGTACGCGAAGTTAGTTTAAACTCGCACACAACATGTCAGTCTACTGATCATTACGCTAGATCCTATACGCGTTGGCAACTTGGCAACTTGATAATGATGGAGTGAAGTACATCAGTCATCACTGATATTGAATTCTCCATAATACCACACTGACTGCAAATACATTCATGCTTAGATCCCGATTTGCTGTCTAGTGGACATTTCGCCCGGTTTCACATACTGGAAAGTGGAAAATTAGTTGATAATTTGCTCCTCTAAACGATGGTCATTTATTTAGTAGCTGCCTATGAGTCGTCTAAACGTTATAACTTTGAACGAAGTAGAAACTCTGCTCTAAGCAATGATACATCAGTGGTTCTCAGTACATGCGTCGCAGCAGGGCTGGAGCGCGGACAGTGTATTTACATTATGCCACTCTTCAACTAAACCTGTTGCGCCAAGTTAAGCAATATTACGTGCCTGTAGAGCCCAAGTGCAAAACATTACTGCAGTTACTACATGCCTGTAGAGCCCAAGTGCAAAACATTGCATGCTCAACAGCGGTATCAAAAGGTATCAAAACAGCTGCGTCTTCAAATGATCACACTATTTATCAATCATCAGTCCGCACGTCGTTGGCTTTGGATAATCGGAAGCACAGGCTTGGTACGGATTGGAACCTGTACAAAGTGCCTGCATGTTTGTGTGTGTGTAATAAATTCATGTGTGACTGTTATGTGCTTGTGTTTGCTACAATAATTATTGTGTAGGTATTGTGTGTATGGTCTAACTCCATAAAATCACTGTATTTTTTGTATGCACGAACTGACAAAATCAAATATATGTGTACCTATTGTGCTCTTTTGTGTGAGTATGTTTAATAAATCCCTGTTGTTTCCGCGTTTGTTTACTCTAATAAATCCTTGTGTACGTGCGTGGTTGCGTTAATCTTGATAAATCCTTGTACATGTAAGAGTGCGCGTGTGTTCAGTGCAATGATGTACCTGTGATGGTATATTTAAGAATCAAACCTTGTGTGGGTGCGTTCTTTCTTACGAATCATTGTGTGCATGTGTGAGTAAACATAACGGCTTATGTTGTGTTTACGAATCAATCCTTGTTTAAATGCGTTGCTATGTTCACTAATATAAATTTTTCATTGTCTACCTGTGTGGCTTCGATGTGTATTAATGATAAATTACTCAGCATTGATCTTATGACCTTACCTTAAATTAACCTTAAATTAAAGACTTTTTTTTGCATTTTTGTTTTCATGTCTATTGATGATAATTTAAATTGAAATTCTCCGAATCCGTATAATTTATTTATAAATTAAAATTACGTATTTTTTACATACATATTCTGGCCCTGGAAGAAAATGTGTGCCTCGCTGGACATTATGTTTCGATGAGCGAAATAACGATGATTTTTGAATCCACAGTTGAAAGATAATAGCCTAATTAATCCATGCCTAAGTATATATTGTTTTCTAAAGATTTTATTTGTGTCTCCATATCAGTAAACAAACTGTAAACAACTAGTGTAACAAGCAGGACGTGTCATCCTGTGGCGTAGATAGGACGCCCGTGCCATACTTTAGTTATCTCTGGAGTCCTTCGACTCATCTTCATTTTTTGTATTTCTTATCACGTTTCCGAACTAGTTTTTGGGTGCACAAAAACTTGTTTCTGAGACTGATGAAATATTCGTTGTTATTTCATCTCACAAAAAAAAATAGTGATAAATACTTCAATAGATTGCATGAACTCAAAAAAAATGAGTGAAAAACTGTCCGAATAGCGATGCACTTTTAATTTGCCTTGATCTAAGTCATCCTGACTCGGTTTGGCCCGGCAAAATAAAGTGTGTCACTATTTAGACTTTGTGACCCACTCATTTTTTTAGCAACCGGTAATCCGGTATGCAAGTAAATGATGTAATTGAACAATCTGGAACCAACAAAATTCTTAAAAAGATTCTATTTTCTTATGCTTTGTATTATTCACTGCGTCACAACGTAGAAAATATCTCTCGTCATGCGCCCTTGAAAATAAAGTAAAAAAATTCAATTCAGCATGAGGCTCCTCCGGCGGGGCCTCCGGATGTTAGTAAATGTAAGGATTTGGATTAAAAAATTCCTCTGTGGCAGCCGAAGCGTCCACCAGAGCTTGTTATAGTGTAGGAATTATGGTTACTAAACATTTTCAAGTATAAAATTAAGTTAAGTGTATGGGCGAGAAACGCCATTAAGAACAAGATACAGAATTGGTTCTAAACTACGGCACCTTCTTAGTCATTTACTAATGACCAATCGAATGTGCTGCATCAACAGCGATTGTTCTTAAATTGGGCTACACATGACTATCTGTCACATATGTATACAGTAAATATTGCTTTGATAATGAACAGTGTTCACTGTTCATTGTCTTTGTGCACTTACTTTGCACAAAGTAAGTGCAATGTACAAAAATAATCGTATCAATATTATGTGTTTCCCCGGATCTTGTCAATAAACACGTAACAGCGCTATTAATCCGGCGTGATTCCCAGGGACTTGTTGGGATATTCCGGTCCGGACGGTGGGACACCGGCGACCTCTTGTTCCGTTTCGCTTTGAGGAAAGACCGAACTAATATTCGTACGTATTCCTCTTAGGCTTTCAGGACACCAGGTACTGGCATGAGCCTGGCGTTTTATGCGACTGACGGGATTAACTAGAGTTACTTGACACTAGAAATTATAACATACCGAAATATAGGTAACGAAAATAAATGTAAGGAGCAATTGTAAGAAGTAACTATGTGTTTGTAATTCGATACTTGAAAAATTTGCAAATTAAACAATCACATTTTTGACCTTGTCCTCCTAAACAATCACATTTTTGTGCTTGATTTCTTTCATATTTAGTTTACAATGCATCTCGATGTCGTTTACTATCCGCTATCTTTCAGAGATTTCCTGTTTCCCCACGCAATAAAGAGACGAACTGTTCGGCATTCCCGGTACGATGCGCCGGAAATCATCAATCGTGTTTTCTTTGTCCGGGCACAATATTGCAACGCTGTAGAGGCATTAGGTGATGTCATCAGTGCTGTCACAGCCGCAAGTGTGATGTGTACAGTAGAACATGATCATGTGGACGTTACAATGACGCTAGTGGGTAACTACTTCGTTGTCCTCGACTCACCAGTCGCTACATGATGATTCGTCCACCAGTTTTCTCGACCGTTACCTGACAGAAATTCTAATACGAGTAACATTTTTCAATATATGAGATTTTATAGACCTAATCATTTTTATGATTGTAAGGCAGACAAGCAAATATGCATGCAACGAAATAGTTGTGAGTGCCGCCTTACGTTACTTTGTTGCTCTATAAACTCGTTCGTAAATGTGTCTAACAATCAGAAATGGTTAAGACTTCATCCTAACAACGATGCATTCTCCTCATCATGTATCATCCAGACCAAGTTTGGAATGGAAATGGAGCGTATCAGTGCTACGTCTGCTTCTGCTGTGTGTAACAAAGTGTGTTATTATGTGGACAATATGCCTTCATTAATTTCTCTGAATGTTGTGGGCCTCACTGATCTGTACTTTGTCATCTGGAAGTGAATTACTGGGATATGTAGTAAAATCTTGACTTATGTATATGCTCGTATTGTATTTTTAAATATTAAAATGTAGTAAAATTTATATCCATTTTCAGGTTTAATTCTGTTGCACTGTTCATATACAAGAAAAATGCTGCATTAACTTAAATTAAATAAAACAAATTACTTATCAATATCATTCTAAATTAAATCATACATGCTAAGAAAACGGATAGTTTCCATTAAGTTAACTTTTAATAAAATTAAAAGATCAGTGAAATAAGGAACGAAATGAATCCCAAGATATATAGCCTTGCAGTTGTTATCATACATTATCTATTTTTCGTCTCCGTTGTTACGAGTCAAGAAACTGAAGATCCTTCGCTGTTGTCGGATGACCCAGCCGAAGCTGTAGTATACGTCAGGAAATGTCGGTGCCAAGTCACGGAAGTATTAGACTCCTCTGGTCAGTGTGTTGAACACCCATTTCTGGTAGATGCGAACCAGAAATCCCATTTTAATACTACAGTCAAAGACCTTTCTTGTCTACCCCCACTGTTTACCGTTGTCTTAAGCCAGGAAGAGTTTTCTCCTGTTGAGGGTGGTGAGATTTACGTTCCCTTGATGAACTCTTTCCTGTCTTATGAAGATCATTGCCTGGAGTACAAGGACAATGTGTTCGGAAACATTAATATTGAGGCCAAGGTCTGTATTACCGCCCCTGTCATACCCATTTGCTGTCCAGGGGGAGTAATGCCCCAGCGGGATTCAGACGGAGCTGTTATCTCGTGCGGATCCTCGTCTGAATCACCCACATCTGATTCCATATTCACCAGTGGTAAAGATTTACCAGCACCTATTCACCATAGCATGGACTTTAGACTACCGGTTTATGTTGGCGCTAATACTGTTGACTTTGGGGTGGTGCCCACCGTAGTATCTTCTATATCGTGTAGTGATGGAAAAAACCTAACCACAACAAATCTGGGGTGGACAGACCAAGCTGTTGTCACGTACGTTGCAGACGGTACCTCGCTGGAATGGAAGAGTCCGAACGGTCAAAGTGTCACTCTAAACCCTGGGGAGTTTTGCCTCGGGAAAGCGGATTCAGACGGCAGCCGCTATGTAGGGTTCTTCTGTTACCAGAACCCTCTCGACCTGCATCAACAGCAGTGTCGCAACCGCACCTGTGTACGCAAATGCTGTGATGCCGATTCCGTGTTCGTAGGTAGAGAAGGGTGCACAAAAGTAGATGAACCCAGCGAGTGGTTACCAGTAATCCACAACCGCGAAACTATGCAACCCTTGCACTACAACGTGACAGTGACAGAAGTCTACGGATTTCCCATCTGTGGAGAGTTCTTTGATTTGGACTCTTCTGAACCCTACGTACTGACGGATGATGGTCATTTAACCCTTTTGCACGGAGTTTCATACGCAGCCCACCGGTACTGCGTGGATAACTTGCTGGACGACAATAACTCCAGTAGTCGCATCGCGGTGGTCTGTTTCGACCACCAAGAGAACACAGACTCGTGTTATTGGCAGAAAATCTTAAAGAGCGTGGCTTTGGCTCTGTCATGCATCTTTATATTGGCCACGCTCTTCGTCTACTTCAGCGTCACCGAAATCTTCAGGAGGCTCCCCAGCAAATGTGTTCTTTCTCAGAGCTTCGCTCTCCTGCTCTCCTTCCTCTGCCTGATATCCTTGCAGGCTCTTAGTACCGGCGAATCCACTCCCTTTTGCATTGCTACAGGTCAGGAAAAATTCATATCAACTTTGCATGTAATTAGTGATAATATTATTTCATCCATTTTAATATGTGCTAATGATGACAATAAGTTTTAAATCTGTTTATTTAAATTTTATTTATGTTAAGAAGAACCTACGTTTTGAAAAATCTTTGTAATATTTGGTATGTGTTCTATTGAAGAAATTATTGCATGTAAGTAGCATCTCATAATGGTGGAAGCTCTAATAGAAATCAAATTCATTAAAAAGATTATGTGCTTTTAATGAGTGATTTCCGTTGTTCAGGTCTGTTGTTCTACTATTCCACCCTGGCTTCATTCTTCTGGCTGAACGTCATGTGCTTCGACATGTATTTCACAATCAAGTACGTACACCGCAGTGTAACAACCAAACTTAAGACCATACATAACTCCAGAAGAAAGTATTTCTTCGTTTACAAACGAAGATTGGTATACCTTAAAACCGTTGTAGGCGAAAATGATTCTTCGTTTGCTAAAGATTTGCATACCTTAAAACCGTCGTAGGCGAAAATGTTTCTTCGTTTCCTAACGAAAATTTGTATACCTTGAAACCGTCATAGACAAAGTCTTGTTTACGTCTTCGCATAGCAAAACTCGAACGCAATGTTGCAAGCAGCACGAGAATAGCCCACCGCGCAGGCTTGTCTGCTAGGCGAGGAAATGTTTGTTTACGTGGTACGCCAGCAGCCTCGATCCTTATTCACGGAAGGAACTCACAGTTGCTAATAGTTATCACAACGACCTCAACATTTGTATTAAGCAGCAATAATGAAGCGAACTCGCCCGTGTGTTATAATGTAATCTAAAATATCTCAGGAATAACAACCTAAAATCACTAGCGAGACATGGCGTAACATTTATTCATTCTCCTAGAGTAGCTGTGTCGACAGGCAAACGAGAGCTTCCTTAGCTGATGCTGAGTTTGATCACAAACAATAACTCTTTTGGGGGATACAGTTTTGCATTTATGCTTAATTTAAGAAATTTATTCACACTAAAAATTATTTCGCATTTGGTGTACAGACATTAAATAGAATAAGATAAATGCATTTTTCAATGAGATTTTGAACATCCCGTGTCACAGCGCATTTGGAATTAAGAGAGTTCGCGTTTAGACTGCAAATGTGGAATACACAGCAGCCGTACGGATAAAATTTATCATATTGAGCCATTGAATCGCATTATATCCAATAAGATGTATTTTGAAAAATTATGTGCTTTGCCATATTCCACTCTATTAGCTTTACTTTACCGTACTTGACGCTCCTGCTCACGATACAGTACCGCGTATAGCAATTCTCAATAGGTTTACATGGATGCACTTTACTCTCTACTTAATTCGACCGTGAAAAATTGCACTTTGGTGTAGGTACTCTCCGTCACTCAAGTGCCCTATACTTTGTTATTCAAGTGCAGTGAACTCGAGTTCTATAAAACAGGTGCATACTATACGCAATTAAGAGAGCAAATATTTATAAAGATTGGAACTGCGGGGTATCGATCCCCGTACTTCTCGCACGCTAAGCGAGCGCTCTACCATTTGAAACTCCTTTACTCAGCTACCCTGTCCTATTCTGTCGTTCACGCCCCTGTCGTCCGCAGGTCCATCGTGCCGGTGTCGGAGTGCGGCAGTCACCTCAAGTTCTTCGCGCTGTACTCCCTCTACGGCTGGGGGCTGCCCCTGCTCTTCCTCGTCGCCGTCTGCGTCGTCGATAACTTGCCTCTTGATCTCGCACACTTCCACGTCATCAGGCCCAACATCTTCTCGGCCTGCCACATCCCCAACCAAGGTGAGTCCGCAGCCACCATCAGGCCCAGTGGTTAAAGTTCACAGTAACAGGATTGGCGCAGAAAGGCGCGGGTTCGTACACTCTTTCTGCCGGCCACCTGCCCAACCAGGGTGAGTCTGCCGCCATCATCAGGTTCAACATCTTCTCGGCCTGCCACATCCCCAACCAAGGTGAGTCTGTCACCACCATCAAACCCAACATCTTCTCTGCCTGCCACATCCCCAACCAGGGTGAGTCCGCCGCCACCATCAGACCAAACATCTTCTCTGCCTGCCACATCCCCAACCAGGGTGAGTCTGCCGCCACCATCAGACCCAACATCTCGGCAGCTTCAGCTCCAACACAGCTGATGGTATTACCCCGTCAACTGACCTCTGGGAATTACGGCGTAAAATGTACATTATATTGCAAGCCCCTAAAAATAATCCATGCCAATTTGAGTAGCAAAAAATACTTTACATCCATTCTGATTAATAACGATGACATTAAATAAAAAACGTATCTTCTTCTACTCAAAATCCATTTAGTGAGTTTTGCAATTTTTTCTAAATTCTTGGGCGCCGCTCTAGCAATTTTTGCTAAAGAAATAAACCAAATTTTTATATATATTTTATGTTGGCCCAACCTAAACTTCATGATTAACATTAATTTCAACTTTGATGTTAATTCAACATGGTAATTAAGCATTTTTTTTTATTTTGCATAATTTAGCTTCTTAGTTGAAAACAACTAGGAATAAAAGCCTGAGAATTTTCGAGCTTTGACAATAAATGAAGCCTCGACGTTTGGGAAAAAATTTCAAGAAGCTTTGTTAATTTCTTCAAAAGTTAAGAGAAAAAATCTTAAAAATTGTCTTTTCTCAGAGGCTTGCACCATACAGCTGTTCCTAATTTTCTTACAATCATTGTGGCTTGCATTGCAGTTTACGAGTTATTCAGTTGAGGACTCTATTAAATACCGGGTTACTTGATTAGTATTTTACTACAATATAACAGTGTGTGTTCAATTATAGCACAATTATTCTTCAATTAAATTGTGTTTTACTGATTGTTAAGAGGTGTGTTTGTAAATACCGTGCTACTTGATTTGTATTTTGCTGCAATAAAACCTTCAATTATATCACAATTTTTCTTTAATTAAATTGTGTTTTGCTAGGGGGCGGGTTGTGGGATTGCAGAGGGGGAGGATGAATATTGGTTAGTGGAGAGGGGAGAATAATTTTGGATTTTTGGGAAATTTGATGATTATGGGTGGATAGGGAAGAATGGGCGATTCAGGTTTTTAAGGGGTGATTATGGGCTTGATCCTCTACCGCCGTGTGTCACTCTCCGGGAGCATAACTTTCAAGTAAAATTATACGTAAACTCTTAAGTGTAGCAACCTCCGGACGTTTGTACGCAACAGAGAGCATTTTAAAGTTGTCGTACGTGGCGGCAACCATCAGTGCAAGTCATTCTGCGCTCACTAGAACCTATCCTTTTTGGGAAGTAGGCGCGTGACAATATTGCTCCGTTACTCGTGTTACTTAACCCTCGGTAGAGGGTTAAGAGAACGGATAGCTGATTATGGGTTGATATGGAGAGATGGGATGAAAAAGCATTTATGGACAGGAATGTGCAAGTATGAGTCTACGAGGAATGTATGTGAATACGCATTTATAATTATGAACTAAAATTAATGGAAGAATATGATCCTATGGTAAAGGTTGATGAATTTGGGCTTATGGGTAGAGAAGGATTACCTGCAGCTTTGCATAGTGTTGCTGTGATCATACCTTTCTAAATTATTAATATTTTCCTTGTTATCAATATTACGGCTGTCAATGAACATGTTGCATTGTTTTTGTTGCATTGAGATTTAATTTCTTTTGATAGTATTTTTGAATACTATGCGTCTCTATACATAATTTAAATACGATTTTTCAAGTGTACGAATATTCATTTCCCCCCACTGTATAAAAGAGGAAATGGTCCGAATAAATAATCAGAAACGTGTAGTTAAAAAGAAAATTTCAAGAACTGGAAGGAGATGGAGCGTCTCTTGAATTAAATCAGAGAACAAACTAGAGTGTAAGGAATAGTAGAATGACCGTGTGCGGTAGACGCAACACGAAAATAAATTAGAATGTAAGGAAGAGTAGAATGACCGTGTCACCGTGTGCGGTAGATGCAACACGACAATAAAGTAGAATGTAAGGAAGAGTAGAATGACCTTGCAAGGTAGACGGTGGTGCGCCACTCGCTCTTCATCTTCTTGTAGTGGAACGTGTGGTGGGTGACACGTGCTGCGTGTGGTGGGTGACACGTGCTACGTGTGGTGGGTGACACGTGCTACGTGTGGTGGGTGATATATCAGTGCGTCTATGCCGGTTTAATTAATTTGTGTTTCATCAAAATTCCTAAACGTGGCACGCTTCATCATATAAGTTTATATTATTTAATCATTTGAATGTTGTTAACGGTAAACAGTTGAGAAAACTTTATATAACTTGAAGCCGTAAAAGTGACGGTAAGCCAAGCTCTGCAAATTGCCAAGAACCTCAGGACGGTTGATAATTCGGTTGGTAATTCGGTTCGGTTGGTAATTCAGGATGGTTGAATTTCTTGGCAATTTGCAGAGCTTGGCTTACCGTCACTTTTACGGCTTCAAGTCATATAAAGTCTTCTCAACTGTTTTCCAGCCCCGTGACACCCTTTTATTGAAGGACCTAGTTATTTACGGTGTAACATGTTTCTTCTTTCGTATAATTGTTTTTTTTTTATTTTGTTTCTTATTATCCTCTCTACTGTGTTCAACATATTTGTTCGCTTATGAAAAGTACAAGTTATATTTGGATATGCACTATTTATCTAATGTAAATGAGTCGCTGTACGGTGACATTTCTTAATGGGACATCGTAATGTGTGTATGTATTACGAATTTATGACTCTATGTATGCATGTATGTCACTGTATTAACTAATTTTCGTGTATATTATGTATTAACGACGTGCGTGTTGCCCAGGCTGGTGACTGACGTCATCAACGCCCTGCGCGGTCTCTTCATCTTCGTCATCTTCGTCTGCAAGCATGGTTCTGTTGTGGGGGTTGTATGGAATGAATCCGAGGAAACTCCGATTTTCTAATTTACATTATTTTTTTTATAAATTATAATAGTCCAATAAATCTGCTGCTCGACTTTTTTTTTGCTACGTAATAATGAAAGCGTTTTTCTTTCGTCAGAAATCAATATGATATGATCTTTAAAATGAAGGAATTTTAGTTTGTCTGCAATGATGGCTTGATTCTCTATGTTTGAAACACGATTAATTTCTCTGCGGAAATAAAGCTTATTTCTCTAAAAAAGCAGTTTCGATTTCTCTATTTTTATCCTAAAATTGAAATAATTCATGTACTAAAAAAAATAATTTTGATATTAAGGTAATTTTTCTTCTGAATTTCTGGCAATTTTTTTATAAGGTAATTTCCCTATTGACATTAAAGTTGTTTTTCATGATCTTATTGAATCCCGGCAATTTTCCTATCCCAAGAGTTGGAAATTGTTTACCCTTTAACAGGGACTTGGCCATCTTGAAATTTGGGCAATTTTCCCATCCTGAATTGAAAACAGCTTGAGATTAAATGCAGCCTTCCAGATAATTTATTAACAGCTGTCTTCCTCTTCTTATATTTGAAGGCAGCGTTCTTCCCGTTATAAGCAGTCTATTTGGACTTTAAGAGAAATCGGCCTCCTGGGTCTTGAAGTAAAAACATTCTTCCTTGTATGTCTCGGTCCCTGCGTGACGCTGTCTCGGTCCCTGAGTGACACTCTCGGTCCCTGAGTGACACTGTCTCGGTCCAAATGTGACCCTGTCTCGGTCCAAATGTGACCCTGTCTCTGCCCCTGAGTGACACTGTCTCGGTCCCTGAGTGACACTGTCTCGGTCCCTGAGTGACACTGTCTCGGTCCCTGAGTGACACTGTCTCGGTCCCTGAGTGACACTGTCTCGGTCCCTGAGTGACACTGTCTCGGTCCCTGAGTGACACTGTCTCGGTCCCTGAGTGACACTGTCTCGGTCCCATCATGACCCTGTCTCGGTCCCTGCGTGACACTCTCGGTCCCCGAGTGACACTGTCTCGGTCCCATCATGACCCTGTCTCGGTCCCTGCGTGACACTGTCTCGGTCCCTGTATGACGCTGTCTCGGTCTCTTAGCTCCCTCAGATGCGCTGTTGCGTCCTTTCGCCGTCCCGTGTCCTCTTCAAGCTCCTCAAGCGCAAGTGGCCGAGCAGATGCGAGCTGCAGATGCAGTAAAGCTTCCGCCCGTTCCCTCGTTCTAGGGTATTTTTCGAACCCTCTTAAATTTGTTTCTTTATATATTACTCTGCGTGGTTAATTTTTGCACGGCCCTGGAACTTGCGCTTCGGGTTAAATTTGCTAAGACGGTTTTTTTTGCAATGTGGCTGCGCACTTGCATGAGCAACAGCTTGGGATGTATGACTCTGGCATATTGGTTTCTCGCGCACGCTTTGAGATTCTACCGATCAATTTCACTACTTCATGACTGTTCTCACTCTCACTCGTTTTTCACGCTTGTCTTCGGTTTTTCGGTCGCGCAAATCTGTCAACATTTTACGCGCGTCTCTTCAAATTTCTACTCTGCCTGCGAATCTGGGTGCTTTGGGCCGTTATCGGTGAAGTGTATATAATTCATGGCCTTTATTTTCCATGAGCTGCGTTACGATGATTCTTAACACTTTTGCGTGTTAATTCGACGGTTATTTATGGTTATTAGTGGTTCATCATTCACATTAAACATATGCATTTAATTATCTTAATAAAAGAATAAGATATCACTTTACTTTGCTTTGTGCAGTCACTCGGATAAAAAATGTACAAAAAGGTTCTGTGCTATAATCTGTACTGGTGAATACAAAATGGTGTCATTTGGAACATTATTACCGATATTTGCTTAGTTGTATGTCCAAGTTTAATTTATTAGCCATCCAGAGGTAAGTTCATAATTATATTCAGGCTGCGCATTCATGATCACAAAATGTCGCGTACGGTCACCTGCGTTTAGTCAACATTGTGTAGGTGTCAAGTTTCATTTTAGTGTTATATTATTGATGTCATTTGAGCGCAAATCTATCACGAATCAAACTAGCATTGTAATCAAGAGCTAAGGGAAACATTATTTCATTAATTATTTCAGTGTTTAAACCTGTAATTGATTGTTACGTAATAAGCCTCTAGTTGATTGTTACGTTTACTGAATAATTTATTAACAAATAATTTGACTTTCAGTTCAAGAACACATGGGGCCCTCGCCTGCCAGCGACGTGCCCCCTCGCGACCCTCTTCGCTAAGAGGACCCCTCGGGGATCCCGGTCCTCGGACCCCGACAGCGGCGCCTCTTCGTCCTTTTGGTCGTCACGCAAGACGTCTAGCACGTCCATCTTCGCGCTAGCGGGACGAAGGAAAGCTTCCGCGGCGGCCTTAGAGGCGACGGGAGAGAGCCACAAGATGAGCGCGGTGAACAGCGAGAGGAAGAACAGCACAGACGTCAAGTTTTAGGCTTTTTAGCGCATTTTATCATTTATGGAAAAATGCACTATTGTGCTCGCCATGTCCGTCTGTCTGTCCGTCCGTGGCTTCACGTTTTCGTCGACAAAAAAATGCGTTCTCTGTCACGCACTGCAGTGAGTACCGAGTTATATTTTTTTGAAGAACTGAAAAATTCAAGACACGAGAAGAGACAACATTAAGTTTCTCATTGTATATTTTATATAATCTCAGTAGCAAGTTTATAGAGTGTAGTGTGTTTGGAGGGACGAGAAGTGACTTATATTTAAGGCTTTAGAAATTAATGTTGCGACAGCGAGTCCGAAAATCTCAGAAGATCCCCGAGTTGAATAGGAAATGAAGAAAACCGACGACTTTATCTAAGTCTAACATATTATTAGGTGAGCTTATTTTTTAACTTACTTCAGATTTTTCGTTCGCTCATGCCTCATCAATTGTATTTATTGTTTATACAATCTGTTTACCTTCTTGCTTTCACAAGAATTTGCCATTTGCTGTGTTCCAGTTCGTGTCGGAATGCACGTTAGTGGTCAGCATTGCCCGTTACCAGCGCCTATGTCATATTCCTTCCCGTGAGCTGGCAGGCTATTGAGTAGAGTAGCCACGTCAATTCAATGTACACGAGTTATTACTCCAGTGTTAAGCCTATTATGAAGAACATGAGTGAGGTTCATCCTTCTCGAGTAGTGCAATATTTAGATTGTCACCCTATTGATGATGGTCCATTTCAACGATGGTTTTATAATAATAAATTTGAAATAATTGTTTAAGTTACCAGTTTGAAAAGCAAACAGTGACACTATAACCTTAACAGGATTACCCAGCTTGCCATTTCATCGTGGTTTCTTTTACAAATAAAATAAAGATAAAATCAAATGGCTCAAAGGCGATTGTTATTTATTAAATATTGTTCTTGTACATCTAACCTGCCAGAAACATGGGAAGAAAAACCAGTGAAAACTGATACTGTTTATGCGGCAATCAATCTAGTTATTCTAACACTTAATACTGAACGCCCTATGGTAACACACGAGAGCGTGACATACTTGACACGCACATCTCGTGTAGCAAGCCACGTTTGACGAGCTTATCTCACGTAGCATGCCACACTTGACACTCTTATCTCACGTAGCATGCCACACTTGACACTCTTATCTCACGTAGCATGCCACACTTGACACGCATATCTCGCGTAGCATGCCACACTTGACGCACTCGTCTCGCGTAGCATGCCACACATGACACGCTTATCTCGCGTAGCATGCCACACATGACACGCTTATCTCGCGTAGCATGCCACACATGACAGTTGACACGCTTATCTCGCGTAGCATGCCACACTTAATACAGATAGCCGTACTAAACATCAAAATCCTAACCTGAACATCATCTCTTCAAATCCCTGTTTGTTGTGTAATTACCTAGACTTAATAATATAACAAACAGATGAAACAAATACGGCGGGGCCGTCAACAAAATCGTCTCGCCTGTAACCAATAACATCGAACCTGCAATTTCCTTAGAATCATAGTTCTTAGCAAGCATAAAACAGTTCTTAGAACAAAAGACTTGTTCCAGATAACTAACATGGCTATGGAATGCCCCTTAGTTCCATTGTACAAATGATCCTTGGATCATACACAAAACTTTTGTTAATGTAATTAATAGTTAAAATGACACTTAATATCTACGGTTTGGACGCGTTTTATTGCGGTTGGCAGAAATCGAGATGTTCTTGTAGATTTGACGAACAATCGAGAAGTTCTGCCGCAGAAATATAACGCTCGCATGCCGTTGTTGGTGAGGTTTTACTGAACACAATTTTAATGACAGCGAGAAAGTTGGAGACCAGCAAATCTAAAAGAAAAAACGAAAACATTCTTATGACACTCGAGGCGACACGCAATCCAACAATATTTTTAATGAGAAATAACTTCTATCAGAACCGCTGAAAACCAGTTTTTTTTACAACGGTAAGTCAATATTATACAAATTTCTACGTCCTAAGCATCAAAATATAACTAAAAAAATGGTGGGAAATAAACTCCGCTGTACAAAAAAATCATCAACACGACAAATAAACTGCATGCAGTTCACTTACCTAAACTTCAGTTTTATTAACATTTAAAAGCTGCAAAAAGTCTGACGGGAAAACTTCATCAATAACCTCACGTCGAAACTGCACACTTATAAAAATAATTGAAATATCTCGCTGTACGACTAACACAAAGCAGTTAGCGAATATTTAACATGGACAGCAAATGAAGAGGAAACGTAATTACAGAGAACGAGCTCATGTACAAAGCTGTATACACACATCACCGTGAGCCAACAACATGCAGTTCCTGTACACATTAGAAAGTCATGATTTTCATTTCAGTCTGTAGGGAAGCCGATGTATTGGCAGAGCATTGGTCCTTTTTATAACTTCGAATGTTTCGTCGGATTATCTCGAGTGTCGGCCCTCTCGAGCTATTCTATCACACCATTACGAAATAAATGATCACATAATAACCTAAGGAAAAGCAATGCCCTGTATTTAAAACAGGCACAAAATGGGTTATTGCCGCTACGTGTCAATTAAGAGAAAAATTATCGTGGCTGCCTTAGATCGTTGCGTGTTCACTCAACTTGTCACGACTATGGCAATCATTTGCTGTGAATGAAGCCTTTAAGGCCTAGATAGTGGGTGGAGGAGGTCGGTGGACGTGTGTGAAGGAGGTCGGTGGACGTGGGTGGAGGCGGGCGGTGGACGTGGGTGGATGAGGTCAGCGAATTAGTTCATCCACTTGCGGCAGTTCTCAGCTCCACACATGCACGGAATTTTGCCGTCCTCTTCCTCATCGAATTTGTAGTCGTAGGCCAACTGGAATAAAAGTTTACGATAAAAAATGTCGAGCAGTCTGAAGATTGAGACGAAAGAGAATAGTTACTTGGAAACAAAAGAGAAGAGTTACTGGGAGACAAATGAGAAGAGTTACTGTGAGACAAATGAGAAAAGTCACTGGGAAAAAATAATTAAATACTAGTCCTACATTAAGCGACTATTTAGAATACTGTGCCCCGGAACTGCATTCAACTCCGAACCTGTCATGAGAGTTCGGCATTCAATAATTGAGTGAATATTAATCACATTAGGGAGAACTTTGTCCCTGCCCAAGAGCTCCAGAGATACAATAAAATGAAGTAATTTGTACTAATTTTATAGAGAATTTTTGAATTAAAAATTTGTCATCGTGAAGAGAAGAACATGATATGAAAGTTAAATTTACAAATTTAAAAGTAATTTCAGATCATCCTTACAAGTGAAAACCAAAATGCTCTCCTCTTTTCCCTCACTCGTCCCAAATAAAACACGAACTATACCTCTTCCCCTCGCATGATCTTGCGGTTGGCAATAATGACGATCTTGCGATCCTTCTCGATCTGCAGGATCTCGGTGTAGCAGTTGGGGTCGCAGCAGTGGTTGATGTAGCGCGCCAGACCACCAGTCTGGGTAGCGTCCACCACCAGGTTCTCCCCCAGACTGAACATGTAAACGCCTCGGTTGGCGGCCTCGTAGCGCTTCTCACGGACCTGCGATATAATAAGCAGTTAAGCATTCGTTCCTTTTGAAAAAAAAAAAAACAGTGGCATAAACCTGCCAACTTTCTGACGTACTAGACATCAAATTTGCACTTTTACATAATTATAAATCATAAAATTTAGACACGAGTGAAAATGAAAACGCATATTACGCGGCTGGTAACAACAACCCACAACCAGCCAGGAATGAAGAAACGGGTTCCTCGAAAAACTCTAAGAAAGTACAAGTTGCCTTCTGCTTTTGGGCAAATAAAAAGCTGTATTTTTTTGTAACCTAATCTTTCTATGCTAAATTCAAGTCCTTGAACATAAATTGCTTGGAAAGCATGTAAGAATTTGATGCAATAGTTACAGCCAAACAAATATAACTAGTGTTTAGAGTGCAGAAAAGTCTGCCAAGCGTGAAGAGTGCAGACAAGCCTGCCAAGCGTGTGGAGTGCAGACAAATCTGCACAATTTCTGCAGGTCAGACAAAGACCATACCTCGGCCAGCTCGGCGCGGATGATCTCGCCGATGTACTCGATGATCATGGTGCTCTTCTCGATGTCCCGCGCTGCGTACAGACCCAGGCCTTGGATCTTAGACCTGCAAGGAGCGTGCAAAAGTCAGATGATGTTGCCCACAAGCCTTACCCTCGAGATAAAAATCTTCACCATGTTTAACATTCAAACAAGTAATGAGATTCAATTTAGGCCGCAAAATCTCAAATGTTACGTTACCGAATTAGAAAATAAATGGGAAAATGGTACAATCGTTTTTGTCCAGATAAATAATCAAAAACGTGTAGTTAAATAGAAAATTTCAAGAACTGGAAGGAGATGGAGCGTCTCTTGAATTAAATCGGAGAACAGACTAGTAAGGAAGAGTAGAATGACCTGTTAGGTAGACGCAACACGACAATAAAGTAGAATGTACGGAAAGTAGAATGACCGTGTGCGGTAAACGCAACACGACAATAAAGTAGAATGTAAGGAAAGTAGAATGACCGTGTGCGGTAAACGCAACACGACAGCAACACGACAATAAAGTAGAATGTAAGGAAGAGTAGAATGACCTTGCAAGGTAGACGGTGGTGCGCCACTCGCTCTTCATCTTCTTGTAGTGGAATGAGCGCGAGTGCGCGAAGGGCTTGACGTAGTCCAGCGTCATGGTGATGTTGGCGATGGTGGCCGCTGTGCGGGTGTCACCAGAGTTCCTGCATATGCGATGTTAGTGTTAGTGGAGAGGTCCACCTAAGTAAGTGTAGGGGCTGTGAACATGGCCTTTAGTAAGGGTAGGGGCTGTGAGCACGGTCCTTAGTAAGAGAAGGGGCTGTGAACACGACCCTTACTTAGGACCGAACACGTTTCACTGCCCCCTTACCACAGCCCCCAACGAACCCTTCACCAGAAAAGAGGACGAAGTATGTAAAAAAAAATTCAAAGGGGAGGGAACGAATGACTTTAATTAGGAGCTGCAAGACGGAAATTGATATAAAGTTCCAGTAAGTCTTTTCAAAGGGACGAACAGAGACAAGCATGGTTTGGTATATGAAGACATCATTATAAAAAGTAATTTGGGCTGCCCATGGGGAAAAAAGCTACACGGGTGTTAAATCCTAAAAATAACGAAATACATTTTATCTCCATATGAACAGATCAAAAGGACAAGGTAGTCACCTGATAGTACCAGCGGACGTCCTGAGCCCATGATACCGCTTGAGTTGAGTTCTGTTGAAGGGTTCCGAGCGTGCACACCCGGTGGGGTTGACGGCGAGAGGTAGCTCGAACAGAGGGTTGCGTCCAAACTTGAAGTTGTAGTCGGCGAGGGTGTCTATACCGGGCAGTGATTCCAGGATTCGTACGATGGCGGGCTCGGTGAGTCCAAAAAGATCTTCCCCGCTGATGTATTGGGGGAAAAGTTTGACGAGGTCTGCGGCTTGACGCATTTCTGCTATTGGGGTGAGGACTTTGTTCCATACGCCCTTAGGAGAGCGGCTCACGAGGGTCATGTCTTCGTAGCCGTCCTCCATAACCACAATTTCGAACTCGGGTTGGCCTTCGACCTCTATGATGGAGCATTGATACGCACACCGCTTGTGGAGCTGCCTCATAGACCAGTAGAACCTGATCACCTTGAAGCCGACCGGGTATATGCAGTAGGGTGTATGGAATGCCTGCAGTTGTGTAGGCAACAGCTGGCCTATGTTAAGTAAGACTAATGAACCTATTCTCAAGAGATGGTTAAGCTCAGTGTGGTGCATCACAGACGCCACCTGACGACTCTCATCTCGCTCCACGTAGACTCTTCGCCAAGCAGCAAGTGTCGAAAGCTCACTTTCCTTCTCACCTTTAGTGCTGTGCTCATGGCAGTAAACTGTCTTGTTCTTGTAGAAAGTACAGTCCTCCTTGACAGCACAGTTAAGGTGGAAGACTTTACTGCAACGCACCTTGAAACACTTCACAGATGCGCCGGGGTTCTCGCAATGCTCACACACGAGACCTAAACATTTCTTTACGGCGGTTTCGACGTTGACGAGCGACCCACTCATCGTCTCGTAGACGTCGTCACCCCACAAAGCGCAGTTCAGGTGCACCCACTTATCCAGGTCGTGGTTGAGCAGCCGTGATGGCCCGTCAGCGACGCAGTCCCCGTAGAGATGACACAGCGTGCAGCGGCGCGAGTCTTGAGGAAGGCCCCGCTTACGGTAAGTTATTTGCATGCGGAACAAAAGCTCTGTCATCTCTCGGTCGGTTGGCTTCTCTTTTTTCTCAGGCAACATTGAATCGCCATTAAAGAACCGATATTTATGTCCTCTGTATCGCTTTCCGTCTGCTTGCATTGGGAATTCTTCTTCGTCAGTTTTGTCGTCGTCATCACAGTCATCAAGTCTGCGCTTTCGTCCCTTAGGTGCATTGGAATCGTCGCTATCCGAGTCAGACTCGGGCATTTCTTGTGGTTGAGGCCGAACACCTGGAGGCAGGAGTGAAGGCAAATGCGGCGCTTCAATCCTATGCTGCATTGAAAATTGTAAACTACAATGTTCACCACAGAAGGTGACTTCATCCACACCAATAAGTTGTTCTCGCTGAATATATGGCATTTCGCTCGCTCTTCTAGTTACAGGAGTTTGGTCGGCCACGTTACCGCAATGCCGGCAGAAGCGCACAACTCCGTTCAAGATCTTTTCAACATCAACTTCGGTGCAATGGCCATCCTTAACGGCCAATTTCCAGTTTTTGGGCATCTTGGGTAGATCTCCCTGATGCTTCACGTCATACACCTGAGGAGGTGGGATATTCAGCAGCGTAGCTAAGCCTCGCAGGCACTGTGCAATCTCTTCACACGCATTCGAGTTGAGCGTGAGTTCCACTTCAACGTTTCCCTCATGCTTCAGAGGCATAGCTGGATTTTCACCGATGCGATTTTTTAATATTATACTGGCGTAGTTTTCACCGTGAGGGGCTGAGTCAGTTTTAGTTTCCACCGCTGGGCTCTGTTCTTGCTTTACTTCAGTTCCACAAGGCTTGACAATCTTGCTTTCTTCACTGATTTCTTTCTTGCAGGACTCTGGTTTGGGGCTCGGGGAAATTTTTGAATCGAGTGGAGGGAGTTGATGGAAATGCCCCGTGGATATGCGCGGCAGTTCTCCTTTGGTCACGGGGATTGGGGCTAATAAGGGGATAGGAGGAGACGAACCCCTATCTGGAGGGATTTCTTCTTCCATGTCAATGAGTCTGAGTCCCCTAAAGCGAGGAGGGCTGTCAGGCATAACGCACTCAGGGGAAGAAGAGGAAAGCACAGTGTCCGGGGAATCGGCCAATGAATGGGGAGTGGCTGAACCAGGTCTGGTGGGGGTAGATGATCCCCCCATCGAGGCATTGACAGTGAGTGACGATACTTCCTCACACGCCTCATCCATGGGGAAACCTATTTTTGGGGGTGGAAATTCCATGCTGTAGAAACACTTTGAGGTTGGCGGTGTCCTCAGGGGTAGCAATACGGGCAAGGCGTTTCCCAGCGGTTTAGTATCATAATAATCGAACCAGCCCTTAAGTTTGAGACTTCCATTCTTACCTTCAAGTTTGCCATTACGGTGATCGTGATCAGGACGACCTAATTTGCCGAGTTCGTCCGAGCCGTAGATGGGGCATACGTTGAAATTACGGTGCACGTCAGGCTCCATTACGGTCAGAGCGGGCATGGCGCGCAGCTGCGTCATGGTTGACTCTAGGAACGTGTCGTAGTCTTCTTCAGGCCGTGTGCGTCGTCCTGTTGCTTTACTTACACCTTCCTTGCTCTGACTTCTACGACGTGGTTGCTGTCCTTGAGCAACAGCTGCGGACCCGACACCTGCAGAAGCGGTCGTGACCGCCGGGGCTCCAGCGGCAGCAGCCCCAAGTCTTTTCTTGCTGTTGCGATCCTCTTCCACCAGTTCGTCCAGGTGCGGTGTGGGTGATAACGGCAGTTGCCGAAGTGCAGGATGCACTGAGTTAAGAGGTGAGTGTTGCTGCTGTTGCTGGGCCGGTGGTGGCTGCTGTTGCAGCGTGTGCACGGCACCCCCGCTTGAAAATTGCTGAGAAGCAACTACAGCAGATGTTTGATGTTGCTGTAAGTTTGTTGCGATTACAACTTGGGAAGTTGGAGGAGGGGGCCCGGCGATCCGTACCCCACTGACTCCGGCCAGCCTTAGCTGTTGCTGCTGCTGTTGGGGTAGGAAAGAGGCTTGCTGGGCTGAGCTATACAGTTGCTGAGGTCGCTGCTGAAGGAGGACCTGTGATGACTGCAAGCCTCCACCCACCGGACCGTTTACGGTGGAACGCACCACAACAAACTGCTGCTGCTGCTGTGTGGCAGACGTCACAACACTATTGCTGTTGTTGTTCTGCAGCAACTGTTTGAGGAGAGCGTTGTGGGTTCCCTCGTCTCTAACGGGTATAGAGTTGGGGGATGGTGCTGGGGAAACCATCATGGGGCTATTGGATCCTGGGGACTGAGCAGGTGACAACCGACTGCCGGGAGTCCCTGCAAGGGTAACACACCCGTTTGGGCTCTGTGGGTGATGGGGTGAACGGGAGGGTGGAGGGGGCATAGGAGACATGCCCCCATGAGGCGAGCGGGAGGAAGGCGGGTGCATGGGTGCCCCCTGGGGAATTTGTTGACGTATCATCATCATTCTGACGGGACCGCCATTCCCTCCTTTGACAAGCATCGTGCGAACAGGAGGCTGATGATTACTCCCCACCAGCACATGGGACCGGGGAATGTGAGGAGTGAGATGGGGAGGAAGGGAGGGGACAGGGCGTGAAGCGAGAGCTGCGGTAGTGAGTGTGCTGGCAGAATTGTTCACAGATGAGTTAAGAGCATCAACACTGTGGGCAGCTATGAGATGTGAAGCGTAAGTAGGTACGTGTGAGGAGATTGCTCCTCCCCCAGGGATGCCAATAATGGCTTGGTGACGCGATGAGGGGGGGATGGAGTTCTTGTGCGGGTGAGGCAAGACAGAGGCTTCTGTAGCAGAACTAGAACTGGAGACGTTGCCAAGAGAAATCAACATTTCAGCACTTGATACTGTTCCTGCTGCTGTGGATAACACAGGACAACTTGTACCTAGTCTGGACGAAGAGACAATGGATGCATCCGATATAGTAAAGCTGGAGACTTGAGGTCCTTCGAACACCACACGTCCTGAGAGACTGCCGTCCACTGTGGTGGTGTAAGCGCTGCTAGCTGCACTCATCACACCGATTGTGGTGCCTACAGCTCCAGAAGTCGTAAGGGCGGAGCTTTGGATGCCTGAACTAACCGGCCCTACAGTAGACCCTACAGTTCCTGAGGCGCTGATTATAACAGATGATGTAGAAATACCTCCAGATGTACTGATGATACAGCCGGCCAAGGACATTGGAGTAGAGCTCATACCTACAGTTGGTGTGTTGACTTCACTAGAAGTTGTAGCAAAAACTGCAGCGTTGTCGGCGGAGCTGGAGGTGCTGGTTAAGCCAGCAGTAGTAGCTCCTATGGCACCAAACATTGCCAGATTTCTAGCCGTGTCGGTAATGTTAGTAGAGGCCATGCCGCCTGTAGTAGCCCTGATCCCCCGTGTCTGATAAATAGGATTGTTACCAGCCACTGCTGTTGTGTATCCCACATTTACCGTTTGTCCAACAGACTCCGACGACGTGAGCTGCGTAGAACAGAGAGAAGATGAAGAGCTGAGAGAGTCGATAAGTGATACTTGGGCGACCACTGGCGATCTTGTTGTGCCCGACGATGCCATGACAGTTGAAGGAGTGAACACGCTACTAGACGTGAACATCGCAGTATATAACGGACTGGCGAGCGTCGTCTCAGTGAGTGTCGTCGCTGAATAAGAGTTAGACACGGCCTCATTGAAGCTTTCAGCATCTTGTTGGTTGTTGTCAGCGCTTGGTGATTGTTTTGAGGAATCAACAGGACTTGCATTGGGGGAGCTGCGGTTGCCGCCGCTTGTAGTCGCAGTGGAGGAATTCGTAGAAGTTGGCACCAATGCAGACGAGGTTGTGGTTGTTGTGGCGTGACTGGTTGTGCAAGGCGTTGTTTCCTGACCACCTTTCAAGCCAATTTTGAAGTATCCCCAAAGAGATTTTCTGAAACCACCGCCACCTCCTTTCAAGCCTCCAAGTTTTATATCACCACTGAAGAAAGAATTCATGTATGGGGCGGTTCCATCTCCACCACCACCACCAGAAGGTGGGTTACTGCAAGGACTAACGGACGAGGTACTCGATACAGGTTGCTGGTACTGCCCCAACTGATCTGGGGTGGGAGTAGACCGGGGTGTGGTGGGGTTACTATTAGGATTACTGCCAGGGTTGCTTTGAGGAACTGAAGAGGGATTTTGCAGGGGAGAAGGATTTTGTCGAGGAGAAGGGTTCTGGATAGGAGAAGGATTCTGTCGTGGTGACGGGTTCTGAAGCGGAGAGTGGCTAGAAGTATCATGACCTGGAGATTGTTTGGCGGCGTTCATAATGTGGTGGGGAACCGCAGGGGAAACGGAGGGCGAGGGCATGGATGTGCGCCTCACAAGTTGCTGTTGTTGCTGCCTCATGAGACCTGGCATGGGAGGTGGGCCTCCCGCGGGAGGGAAGGGTGACCGGGGCGGGTACAAAGGACCCTGCGGGTAAGGGGAAGGAACTCCTGAGTACGACGGTGACGGCATAGCATGAGGACTGTAGCCGCCATCCCCAGAACTGTTGTGACTTGGAGAGTGCAAGGGCACGCTGGGATGAGGGGAATGCTGGGCAGCAGACACAAGACTTGGGGAGGCCGCGGGGGTGTGGGGAGACGGTACCATGGGGCTCATGATGCCCCCAACCCCCGATGATGGGGATGGGGACATCAGAGGGCTGTGGGAAGTTGAATGAAGCGGGGAAGAACCAGGATGTCCCCCTAGTGGAGAAGCACTGTGATGAGATATTCCAATAGCCTGTGGTGACCGTTGCTGTTGCTGCAACTGTATCATTCCTGCCATATGTTGCTGTTGTTGCTGCTGATGTTGTATTAAGCCAGGCATTCGTGCCTGCTGCATATGCTGTTGCAGGTGTTGCTGCTGCTGCAAGTGTTGCGGTATCCCATGCATCTGTTGCTGTTGCAAATGAGGCGGCATCACAACAGGACCGACCGCCTGTTGTCGCAAATGTTGCTGCGGCTGAAGGTGAGTAAGACCGGTGGCACTCATGGGGCGTTGCTGTTTATGCTGACCCTCCCTCTTGGCAGTGTACTCATTGAAGATCATGTTGTGGTGGCGAGCAGCTTTGCGACATTGATCCAGCGTCCGCTGCACCGCCGTTGCCTGATGCTGGACACGCTCCAGATCGCCTGCCTCGGTCGGACCCAGCTCCTAGAACATAAATTCTGCTTTAGCGACACCGCGGCCTGTCCCTGAACTAACGCCTGCTATCTTAATGTATGAAAATGTCGGGATGCCGTTTCACGTTCTTGTTTTAACGATTGCTTCCTTCAAGACACATACGGGGTAAATTCAAGAATTATGTTCTATGGACAAAATGAAAATAAACACCTGGCCCTGTTTACGACGATTGCTTCCTTCGAGACACATAAATTCAATAATTATTTTCTATGGACAAAATGAAAGTACTCACCTGTCCCTGTTTACGAAGTGTGCGCTGCCTACTGTTCAGGCTTTTCCTCTGTTTACGTAGTTTGGTGATCTCGGCTTCATAAGCTGCCTGTTGTGTTGACAGAAGATTCTGTTGATTGCCCAGCCATTGTTCATAGGCTTGGACCTGTGATACATTTTAATGTTCCTATTAGCACCACACGATGATCTCGACATATCTATAATGCTTATTATTATCTGCTATCATTATCAAATATGCGCTAGCTATCATCGTTGCACATGTTTTATCATTCCAAGTTCAAATTTTTATGTGGCTCCATTCTATGCAAGCCATGTGAATGCAAGTTGTGATCTGACATTTGGAGTGTAAAATTGTGCAGGATTTAAAACAATAATGAAGGTTATTAGGCATTAAGCTCCTTTAGGCCAAACAGGAACATAATACGTGAATACGTTCTGATATCCTGAGCAAGTGTAGGTACATTATTGAACTTTCCAGTTAACCTTTTAAAATTTTTTAACTTCCAATAGTTGACAACTACTATTCTGAATACTAGTTTTGTTAATGGGACGAATAGTCAGAAATTGCTCGATAGCAAAATGTATGAATAGTATGAATAGTAGGAAATTGTTCGATAGTAAAATGTTGATAAGGAATACCGAGACTTTTTCTATTTAGATCAACAAACCCTGATTATATTATTATTAAAATGAACTCTTGAATATGAATGATGAGGAAGTTTACCTGCTGTCGCTCAGCATCAGTGTGGGGACTCGTGGGTGGGACTGGGGGAGCAGGAAGCGAACGGAGGGGAGGAATATTGCTGTTCCCACTGCCTTCTCCTCCACTGGACGTCCCCACCGTGGGAGGGTTGACGGGAGCCCTAAGGGTGCCTGCTTGCAGCAGCGCTGTTGGGGAATGAGGTAGGATAACGACCATGTTATTACATATCAACATAAAAAAATATAACTCAGTACTCACTGCAGTGAGTGACAGAGAGCGCATTTTCTCGTCGACGAAAACTTGAAGTCACAGACAGACGGACGGACATTACGAGCACAATGGTGCATTTTTTCATAAATGAGAAAATGCGCTAAAAATGATGCAAATATGGAAGGGAGAAGAGAGAATATTTTAAAATATGAAGAAGTCAGTAAAACATCAAATTAAAATTTAAAGATTTGTTAATATTTGACGAACAGTGCAAAAAATTCAACAATAGTAAATACTTTGACCAACTTCCCATCGCTTCACTGAAGGTGGACTGGGCAAGACGAGAAAGTTCTGACTGACTGCATATCAGTTAACATAGGACTTTGGAACACACCATCAAAATATAAGATACATGGAGGAATAAATTCCTCGGCCTCCCTAGAATCTTTAACTCTGGGCACCCACCACGGCCTGCCTCCTACTCTGGGCACCCACCAGGGTGAAGGCCGGGGTCGTGGGGAGGTCTGACGGGCCTCATGACGGGAGGTTGACCAGGTAAGCCCCCCACAGCCCCAGGGGAGTAATGTGTTGCAGGTCCCCCGATGCTGCGCCCCCCAACGCCTCCTCCTGCACCAAACAACTCATGAGAACATGACTCGTCTGCTCCAGAAGTGGGTCAGGTCTCAGTTCAACTGTTAGTTCAGTCTTAATATTTAAATCAAAAGTTCCTATGAATTAATGCAGTCTCAGCTAAACCTATTATTCTATATACGATAATTTGCATTTTCAAACACAAGTTTTTATGATAAATATAAATTAACAAATTCATAAATTATAAATTATAAAATTATGCAAAATCAAAAAATTTTGAGTGGCAAAAAGAACCATACAATTGCATTAAATATAAAATAGAAAAATTTAATTCCATAGCCAACATAGAAGGTTTATTTGTGATAAAATGAAGTATATGGTTTGATTTATTCCATGTGATCATTGTTCTTAAAGTTAATAAGTGTAATATTGAGGTACTGACCAGGAGGGGTGAGCTGCATGGCGGGGGAGGGGGTCATGGGGGACTCAGCACTCATGTCCTCCCCCCCTGCCTCCCCCCCACCTGCAGCAGCTGCAGCTGCCGCCTTTTGCTGCTTTAGCTGCTCCAGCTTCTCCTGCTCCAGCAGGTCCTCTATCAGCAGCGGCTGCTCCTGTCATGTGATTATTCACATTTATTAAATAATTAACTAAATAGATTAATATAGATGTATTGAGGTAATTAAAATGAGATAAACTATCTAGAGAGCACAAAAAATAAACGAAAATGATAGAAATAATGGAAAATGAAGTTACATTCATATGACTTTCAGAAGCTACTTTTACACAAGTGACTTAACAAGAGCTATCTACATACAAAGAACAAACAGGGGCTATTTACAGGCAAATAACTAACTTACTTTTCACATGCACACTAACAACCTTAAAATGAGGTGGGCATTTAGATAAAAAAAGTGTAAAGTATCTTAATCAATTCAGAGTATTCAGCTGCTAAATGAATAATTGTGGCCAAGTAAATCCGCTTCTAAACTTGGGAATCCACTTCTCAGCTAAAATATTCAGCTATATAATACTTTTTGTTAACCCTACATGTCTGTAAAGACAAGAAGATCATGCAGTTAAAACTCGTGCAGTTTTTCATGAAAACATGCAGTTTTTGCAAGGAAAAACATGCATTTTTCCGTTCTAAAAATATCAATTGTGTGCGAAAAATAACAATTGCAAAGTGACTGAAAATAAGAATTGGAAATGAAAATAACATTTTAAAACCAGAAGAACTACAGTTTTAAGTACTACATTCAGAAAAGCAAGTCATATTGTCAAATATATCGACACATTTCTTGCACTGATAAGCCCTTTTGCGGTGCCAAGCAGTGTCAGAATGACCCCTACAAGGGCAAGAAATGCATCACTGTCAGGACAAAGTCTTGCTCAATTTTCTGAGTGTAAGCTGAAGGTTTAGTGCAAGAATGTGCAGGAAAGCGACTCAAGATAAGCAAGCCTTCAGGACCAGGAAACACTCAACGCTTGGAGCTGTTGTGATCAATGCTGGTCCCATATATTGCTGGAAATTAATTAGAATATTTCATGTGATATATACCAAACACACACACTTGTTTCTATACTGCAACAAACTTGTTTCTACACTGCAAGACACTTGTACCTACACTGCAAGACACTTGTACCTACACTGCAAGACACTTGTACCTACACTGCAACACACNACTGCAACACACCACTTGTTTCTACACTGCAACACTCTTGTTTCTACACTGCAACATACTTGTTTCTACACTGCAACACAACACATGAGCGGTATGCAAAAACATATAGGAGAACACAACTGCCAAGTACTTTAATTTTCAAAATTTATTCTGCAAGGTTAGCTCCAGTCGAGATACATATTTCCAACACAAATTTATAATCCAAACGTAAATTTATTTCATTTAGATCACACAAAAATTGTTTTCGTTCGTGAATAAAACTGCATTGATCCACAATGACAATCAGTACTTTGAAGAAATATGTATAATATTGTATAATCAACGTTGAAAATAAGAAATATTGTACAATCAACGTTGTATAAATATTGTATGATGAACAATGGGATGAAACAGATTACTAATCGCTGGCAGGATGGGATTTCGGGGCGCCTGCTGTCACTGAGCACCTGGGGATGGGAGGACGGGTCAGAGGCAGGAGAGTTCCTGTAACCGAGGACACTGAGACTATCTTGCGAGAAGGACCCGCTAGAAATTAGATTAGAAATTCCATTAAAAACTATGCACTGAAAAAACACACTTGAAAACCACGCGGTGAAAATGTTGACATGAGAACCACGCGTTGAAAAGGTTAACTTGAAAACCACGCAGTGGAAAGGTTAACTTGAAAACCACACGCTGAAAAGGTTAACTTGAAAACCACACGCTGAAAAGGTTAACTTGAAAACCACACGCTGAAATGGTGAAGTTGAAAACCACACGCTGAAAAGGTGAAGTTGAAAACCACACGCTGAAAAGGTGAAGTTGAAAACCACACGTTGAAAAGGTTAACTTGAAAACCACGCAGTTAAACGGTTAACTTGAAAACCAGGCGGTGAAAAGGTTAACTTGAAAACCACGTGTTGAAAAAGTTAAACTTGAAAATCACGCGGTGAAAATGTTAACTTGAAAACCACGCAGTGATAAGGTTAATTTGAAAACCACGAGTTGAAAAGGTCAACATGAAAACCACGCGGTGAAAAGGTTAACATGAAAATCACGCATTAAAAACTGCACTTGAAAACCACACGATTCAGAGAAATAATGTTTTTAGGAAATTTTAAAAATGTCATAAAATAATTTAAGGGATGAGAAATACCGAGAGGTATTATGCGTGGCAGCAAAGAGGCAGCTAAGTCAGGCACAAAAACCTTCATCAGAATGACGGAACAAAAGCTGAATTCAACAGAAATGTTGAATTCAGAACCGGATGCACCCATAACGTTAGCGTAAGCTTCATTTTAATTTAAAATAGAAGGCGAGCGTTTTTAATTCATGCAGCAGCCATGAATTGACCTGAATGGCAAAACAAGCAGTCTTTAGTTCATTCTATTAATATAACAATATTTAAAACGCATGTCACTCCTATAACACGACAGCTTGGGGAGAAATTGACATGTGGTAAGATGCAAGAAGGCAATATATTTTATGCAAGCAAATACCCGCTGTAAATACCGTTACTGGAGAGATTAGAGAGAGTGGAGAGCACCCATGGTAACAGAACTGTCTTAGGTAACTGAGAGAATAGAGAGAGTGGAGAGCATCCATGGTAAGAGCTGTTTTAGGTAACTGAGAGATTAGAGAGAGTGGAGAGATTAGAGAGAATGGAGAGAATAGAGAGAGAGAGTGGATAGCCCCACGGTAATAGAACTGCTTTAGGTAACAGAGATTAGAGAGAGTGGAGAGCATCCATGGTAACAGAACTGCTTTAAGTAACTGAGAGATTAGAGGGAGTGGAGAGCATCCATGGTAACGGAATTGCTTTAAGTAACAGAGATTAGAGAGAGTGGAGAGCATCCATGGTAACAGAACTGCTTTAAGTAACTGAGAGATTAGAGGGAGTGGAGAGCACCCATGGTAACAGAACTGCTTTAAGTAACTGAGAGATTAGAGAGAGTGGAGAGATTAGAGAGAGTGGAGAGATTAGAGAGAGTGGAGAGATTAGAGAGAGTGCGGAGATTAGAGAGAGTGTTGAGCACCCATGGTAACAGAACTGATTAAGTAACTGAGAGAATAGAGAGAGTAGAGAGCATCCATGGTAACAGAACTGCTTAGGTAACTGAGAGAATAGAGAGAGTAGAGAGCATCCATGGTAACAGAACTGTCTTAGGTAGCATATATTATAGTGTAGTGGAAATATTAACTAACGTATCAAAAAATAAAAGATTAACAAACTGATAAGCACACACGATGCAAGAAAGTTGCACCTTATAAAGGCCTTCAGAAGACTGTTGCTGCTGCTGCTGTTGTTGCTGCTGCAGCTGCTGCTGTGTTTGTTCGAGCTGCTGCTGCTGTTGTTGCTGTGGGAGAACAGTATTATCTTGCTGCTAATTTTCCTTATATTATCGACGGTACCAGCAGAACAACGGGAGTATAACAACCATAAAAAGCTATAAATTGACTCGTTATAAATATTAACATAATGTGCATGAGCGGAGTGGTGAGTGAAGTGGACTACATTGTAATTGAACGACGATAGTGAGCTATACAATATTATCAAGTACAATATTAATAGGCACAATATGGGGATACATGTCGGGACATCATGAAGGAAAGCCACACAAGGGGGGCAATACAAGGGAACTATACAGTGGCAATATAATGAATAATACTAGGGAGTATACGGGAGAAATTATGACGTATACAGGGGGTGATGTCGGGGACCAGATCTTACTGGAGCAACTATAGTGAAATATACAGTGCAATGTGTAGGTGCTGTGTAGAACATTAGTCAGCTATACAGAGCGATAGAAGTGCTGTGTACCGCATGATAAACATACAGGCCAATATAAGTGCTGTATAAAACATAAGTCAGATATACAAAACAATTTAAGTACTGTGTGAAACATTACTTACTCACATAAGGCAATACAAATGCTGTGTGAAACATTACTGAACCGCACAAGGCAATATAAGTGCTGTGTTAAACATTACAACCACACAGGGCAGTACACTAGCCCTTACCCACCGTACCAGCACCCCTTCGTCAGCACTGTCTTCAGTATAATGATATTCCTACCAAAGGTGCACCTATAGGTCCTACCTATCCTTTGTTGCTTCTGTTACTTTCATTGAGGTACACTTTTTTATTTTTCCTTCAATCAAAAAGATTCTACATAAAGAAAATTCAACGCATTTTAATGTCATGTTTAAATATTTGTTGAGACATGAAAATTATTCAAAAAAGGCTTTGTTATAACAGACAGAAAAGAAAGAACCTGATTAAATGTCCGGTTATTAGCACAGTTTTATTTGTTTAGCATTAAATGTCCGGTTGTTAACATAGTTTTATTTAGTTAGCATTAAATGTCCGGTTATTAGCATAGTTTTATTAGGTTAGCATTAAATGTCCCGTTATCAACATGGTTAGCATTAAATGTCCGGTTATTAACATAATTTTATTTGGTTAACATTAAATGTCCGGTTATTAACATAGTTTTATTTAGTTAACATTAAATGTCCCATTATTTACACAGTTGGCATTAAATGTCCCGTTATTAACAGTTAGCATTAAATGTTATTAACATAGTTATATATATAGTTAGCTTATGTTGAAAGGGGTTAGTGAAGCCCGAACCCTTACCTGGAGAAGAAGGGGTCGTCTGTGGGGTTGTGGAGGAAGATGGGGGTGGGGGGAAAGAGAAGGAGGGGAGCACAGCATGTGGGGGTGAACCCGTGGGGAAACCGGCCCCGCCATGGACACCAGCATGGGGGAGTGAGGGGAGAGTTGGGGGAGGGGGATTGGGGAATGTTGGGAGAGGGAGTGAGGAGAGTGTTGAGGGATGGAGTGGGGTGAGTGTTGTGGGATAGAATGGGGTGAGTGTTGAGGAATAGAGTGGGGTGAGTGTTGTGGGATGGAGTGGGGAGAGTGTTGGGGAAGAGTGGGGACAGGCGAGTGTTGTTGGTGTTGCAGGTGGTGATGGGGAGAACTTCTGAGGAGTAAGCCACCACCCGCACCACCTGGCTCTCCCATCTGTGTGGTGAACACCAGCTATAACCGTCACGCAGCTTCCAGATACCAAAGCATACCAAATAGATACCATATAGATGCCATATAGAGGCCATATAGAACCATCTGTTACCATAAGCTATAGATAAAGCCGTTGAAGCATTTTAGAAAAATACACCATTTGTCACCATAAGGTTCAAGTAAAATATTTATGTCAGAACATTATGTATCAAGACACCATATCCACCAAGTCAGACACCATATATTAGGACAGCATATACACCAAGCCAGACACCATATATTAGGACACCATATACACCAAGCCAGACAAATCACATCCCCCATGTGGTGGACGGCTGTCCCCCTCACCAGGTGCCCCCCCATCATACGCAGTCCCCCAGCGGGATACCCTGCACACCCAAGATGGTTGTTACTGACCAACCAATTATAATGCGGTAATTACGGGTTAAACTGTAATCGTCAAGGTCGTATATTTATTATAAACATTTATAGCAATATAATGTAAATACCGTTGTTATTTATACGGTTAATCTAAAAATTATAATTGAAATAAAGAGATGAAAAATAAATTTATTACGATAGACAATTATAACAATATCATGTACATAACGTAGTTACTTTTATACTTAATTTAAAAATTATAATTGAAATAAAAAGACGAGAAAGAAATATACTATGATAAACATTTGTAACAATTTCATGTAAATAACATAGTTATTTCTACAGTTAATGTAAAAATTATAATGGAAATAAAAAGACGAGAAAGAAATTGATTCCGATAAACATTTATAAAAATATCATGTAAATAACGTAGTTATTTTAACAGCTAATGCAAAAATTATAATTGAAATAAAAAGACGAGAAGGAAATATATTAAGATAAACATTCATAACAATATCATCTAAATAACTTACTTATTTCAACAGTTAATCTATAAATTATAATAGAAATTAAAAAAAAGAAAAATAATTTATTCCGATAAACATTAATAGCAATATCACGTAAATAACGTAGTTACTTCTGAAGTTAATGTTAAAATTATAATTGAAATAAGGAGACAAAAAAAAAGATAAAATCACGTTCCACTAACCTGGGCCCATGGAGTGGGGTAATTGAGGCAGCCTGTGGGAGGGGCCCCGGGCGACCATGAGGCCCCCACGGCCCACGAGGGTGGGGAGTGGGGGAGTGAGGGACGCCCCCCCGCCATGCACCGAGTGTGGTGGGGGCGGCGGTGGCGGGGGCGTGGGGAGCTTCGTCCCCTCTTGGCTAGTGGGTGCAGTGGGTGTGCTGGTTGCTGCTACATTCCCAGTAAATGCAGTAGAAACTGGAGCATTGCCAGTAAATGCAGTAGAAACTGAAGCACTGCCAGTAAATGCAGTAGAAACTGGAGCACTGCCAGTAAATGCAGTAGAAACAGGAGCACTGCCAGTAAATGCAGTAGAAACTGGAGCATTGCCAGTATACGTGCTTGCGGTAGACATGTTCCCAGTATATGCACCAGCCGCAGTGATGTTCCCAGTATAAACACTGGCTGCTGATACACTGCCAGTATTTACACTCGCAGAAGATATATTGTCAGTAAATGGACTGGAAGCGCTGCCAGTAAGTGCGCTGGCAGTAGGCACGTCCCCAGTAAATGGCATGGCAGTAGAAGTAGACGAGCTTGGAGTTCCTGGCGAGGACGTTGCTGGGGCTACAGCTGGGGACGCAGCTGGGGGGCTGGTTGAGGGGAAGTCCAGGGGCCCAGAACTGAGATAACAAGAGCCTGTTAGGGGCCATACAGTCTACTGTTTGTGTGGTGTGTACCGCCTGTTAGGGGCCATACAGTGTACTGTTTGTGTGATGTGGCCCGCCTGTTGGCTGCCATACAGTGTACTGTGTGTGTCAAGTTTAGCACATGGCACATTGCCCAGTATCCGCGCTCTCGGGTTCCGCCATGTGCAACACTACGTGTAATTTCAACAACACACAGCGTCTGAATGAAGTTTGTATTACAAAACGATGGTTCCGTACACAATTCACCATCACCCTCACGTCAGCTCCTCCCTCTTACCCTCCTGCCCTCACGTCAGCCCCTCCCTCTTACCCTCCTGCCNTCTCCACCTGCCACCCCCACCCCATCTCTGCACCTGTTGTCCCCATGGGAGCCTCTGGAGGTGCCGGCGTCGAGGGCGTCCAGCAAGTCAGTAGCCGCGCCCTCCTTCTGCTGCTCCTCCGTCATCATCAGCAGCTCAGCCAGGTTACTCGCTGCAACACAGAGCAAATTAGAACTCTTACTCACATCTGCCTCCGCTCTCTCCCTGCAATTTAACGTAACCATGCGATGATTCAGAGTCATTTCTTTAATATATCAAGTTACATTTCTTCAATACATAAGATTTCATTTCTTCAATACCATAACATTAACTAATATCAAACTATTAACATTAAATATCTAACAGACACAACAACACAGCAGGGAACACAACAACAATGCAAAGGGAGTAATCTATGGGACACTAACACAAAGCCTCGTCGTCCATGGAGGGGATCTCCCCAGGCACGAGGTCCCCAAGGTCGGCGTCCTCGTCGTCCCCTCCACCAACTTCCTCCCCCTCCCCCTGCTGATGCTCCCCCTGTCCTAGTTTTTGTTGTTGATGGAATTGCTGCTGCTCTTCTTGAATGAGCTGCTGATGTTGTTGCTGGAGCTGCTGTTGATGCTGTTGCTGTTGCCTTTGTTGTTGCTGCTGCTGTTGTTGTTGTTGTTCTTCCTCAAGCTGTTCAAGTTCACGCGTCACAGACTCCGGCAGCTCAGGTTCTGAAGCTGAAATAAGCAATCATTAACTCGTCTGTTTAGGTTTAGATAAAATGGCCAAATATATAATGACTTTGTGATAATAATGTCACAGTAATTTGTAAATGTCAAGTAATCAGATAATGAAAGAACTACAGGATTAATCTAGAGAAAAATGGTAAGCATCCCTCACAAGTACTCACCCATGAGGAGAGACAAGCACCCCTCACAAGCACTCACCCATGAGGAGAGACAAGCACCCCTCACAAGCACTCACCCATGAGGGGAGACAAGCACTCCTCACAGCCACTCACCCATGAGAGGAGACAAGCACCCCTCACAAGCACTCACCCATGAGGGGAGACAAGCACTCCTCACAACCACTCACCCATGAGAGGAGACAAGCATTTCCTCACAACCACTCACCCATGAAGGGAGCAAGCACCCCTCACAACCACTCACCCATGAGAGGAGACAAGCATCCCTCACAACCACTCACCCATGAATGAGCAAGCACCCCTCACAACCACTCACCCATGAGGGGAAACGAGCACCCCTCACAAGCACTCACCCATGAGGGGAGACAAGCACTACCGATAACCCATGAGGGGAGACAAGCATGCCTCACAAGCACTCACCCATGAGGGGAGACAAGCACTCAACCATGAGAGGAGACAAGCACCCCTCACAAGCACTCACCCATGAGGGGAGACAAGCACTCCTCACAGCCACTCACCCATGAGAGGAGACAAGCACCCCTCACAAGCACTCACCCATGAGGGGAGACAAGCACCCCTCACAAGCACTAACCCATGAGGGGAGACAAGCACCCCTCACAAGCACTCACCCATGGGTGAAGGCGTCACACAAACAGACGATGGGTTGGTTTTGTGCAGCTGTTGACTGATCTGTTGATGATGCAGCTGCTGTTGCTGCTGCAGGATTTGCTGCATTTGATGCTGCTGCTTCAACTGCTGAAAATGCTGCTGTTGCTGTTGTTGGTGCAGCAACTGTTGTTGCAAATGGCGCGCATGTGGAGGCTGCAAATGCAACCCCTGTTGCTGCAAGCCATGTTGCGGTAGCGAATTTTGCTGCAGGCCGTGTTGCGGTAGCGAATGTTGCTGCAGGGCGTGTTGTTGCAAACTCAATTGTTGCTGCAATCCCTGTTGTTGTTGCAATATTCCTTGTTGTTGCAACCCATGCTGTTGCAACCCTTGCTGTTGTTGCAATCCTTGTTGCTGTTGCTGCAATCCCTGCTGTTGTTGTAATACTTGTTGTTGTTGCTGCTGCAATCCTTGCTGTTGTTGCAATCCCTGCTGCTGCTGTAATATTTGTTGCTGTTGTGGCTGCAATCCTTGCTGTTGTTGCAATACTTGTTGCTGCTGCAATCCATGCTGTTGTTGCAACACTTGTTGTTGCTGTAACCCCTGATGTTGCAGCCCTTGGTGTTGGGGCGACATATGTGGATGCTGGGGCGACATATGCGGATGGTGCTGAGGAGAGAGATGGGGATGCTGGGGGGACATGTGGGGATGCTGTGGGGACACGTGGGGCTGTTGTGGGGACATATGGGGCTGCTGTGGGCCCATGCCATGAGGCATGGGCCCAGGAGGCCTTTGCAAGATACGACCGTTGGGGCCAACGTCACCTCCGTACGTGAGAATTTGTTGCTGTTGTTGTTGCTGCTGTTGGAGGAGTTGCATCCTAATCCTCATATCCCCACCGTGGGGCAAGTCCCCATTGGGGGACGGAGTAAGTCTCATCCTCAGTCCAGGGGATGTGGACACTTGGGGAGGAAGAGGTTGTCGGAACTGCTGTTGCTGGGGAGGAGGAGGCTGCTGGAGGAGCACAGGTCGCCCCTCATGGGGCACGAGTTCCCCCATGTTGGGGGACGTTGGAGGGATGCCCACTCCTGCAGGGGAAGGAGTGTGGGGACCGTAGCCTGGTCCATGCAGAGGGCCACCCGACGCTGGGTGCTGCCCCTCCACCGCACCACTGCACAGCAATAAAGCACTTCAGATTAAGAGGTCACTTACAGTAAGTGACCAGGATGTAATTTGTAGCGACTGGACACTTAGTAACCAGGCAGTGATAGGTAGTGATAGGGCACTTACAGTAAGTGACCAGGATGTAATTTGTAGCGACTGGACACTTAGTAACCAGGCAGTGATAGGTAGTGACCGGGCACTTACAGTAATGTAGTGACCGGGCACTTACAGTAAGTGACCAGGGTATAATGTGTGGTGACCGGGTACTTAGTAACCAGGCAGTGATAGGTAGTGATAGGGCACATACAGTAAGTGACCAGGATGTAATTTGTAGCGACAGGGCACTTAGTAACCAGGTAGTGATAAGTAGTGACCGGGCACTTACAGTACAGTAAGTGACCAGGATGCCATATGTAGTGACCGAGCTTTGTAACCTGGCAGTGATGGTAGTGACCGGGCACTTGCAGTAAGTGACCAGGATGTAATATGTAGTGACTGGACAATTAATAACCAGGATATAATATGTAGTGACCGTTCACTTAGTAACCTGGTAGTGATGGTACGTAGTGACCGAGCACTTGTACATAGGTAACTAGCAGTTATTAATGCGTGTAGCCTGATGCCACAAAGTAGTTATTCCAGCGAGAGTAAAGCTTGAAGCAACATCCTTCCACAGACGCGGTTTGATGAAGCCATAGGCTATGTTTCTAAATTTGAATTGAAGTTCACAAAACGATCAGTATAAGACCTTTAGAAAATATATTGTTTTCTTATTCTTTGATAAAATCTATTGTCAGAATTATTGATGGTGCTTAGATATATAGCAATAAAATAGGTTCCCATATGTTGCCCTGGAAATAACTGTTAGAAACCTAGAATATTTTCACTGGGAAACTTATTTCTAACACTTATTTCCAGGGCAACCTAGGGGAACCTATTTTATTGAGAATTGGTGTATACTGGAACAATAATTGAGCATGCCACCTCGGTCGGTTGGTAGGATGTAGGATACTGTAATTTCAGTAAAAGGTTATTGATTTAGTGATTACCTCGGTGACGCAGCAGCGGCTGGAGACGCCTGTTGTTGTTGCTGCTGCTGTTGTTGTTGTTGTTGTTGCTGCTGTTGTTGACGCAGAGCTTTCTGTTGTTCCTGTACAGGATTAACAGGTCAGGGAAAGTCCGGCGGGATTAATTTCAGTAAAAGGTTATTGATTTAGTGATTACCTCGGTGACGCAGCAGCGGCCGGAGACGCCTGTTGTTGTTGCTGCTGCTGTTGTTGTTGTTGCTGCTGCTGTTGTTGACGCAGAGCTTTCTGTTGTTCCTGTACAGGATTAACAGGTCAGGGAAAGTCCGGCGGGATTTATTAACAAAAATTAATACATTACTAACTACCGTCATAACTTTACCAATGCAAAAACAATGAATTAGCGGAATTAGCGGTAACAATTTGAGATTGTAGCAGGAATAGCTTCATGATAAATGATAAGCTAAAACCTTCAAATATCACAGGAATACCATTAAATAAAAGCTGACATAGAGAATAAAAATCATGCACAAGATGACGTCAGCAGATCAGCAACTCAAACTTCATCCTTACAGTTTCTGATGAAAACTGAGATGAACGACAACAGGCAACTTGAATATAAAGTGAAAAAAAAATTAACATAAAATAATTGATATTATAATGTAAATAAATACCTAAACTACAACTTATAAATCTAATAAGAAAATAATAATAACATCTTTATATTGTATAAACTATTAATGAAAAAAAAAAATTTAAAATTTCTATTTAATTTAGATGAAATGAAGACATAATCGGGGTAATATGTTTTAGATGATCTACGTAGGAGACGAGTGGAAGTACGACATCCTTGTATATGAAATAGAATAATGCTGGAAGCAAGGCAATATAATTACAAATAATAACAGTGACATTGGAAAAAACGTAGCCTATGAGGTATAAATTAAGACTAAACTAAAATAAAACATTTGCACTTCATGAGAAAAAGAAGGCTTTATGGGAGAGTGGACAATATTTTATTCTATTATATTTATGTTTTGCGATTCCTCAGATGCGATACACCACGTGCACATTGTACCAACGTAAGTAAACTCTCACTGCGTTACATTGGCCATTAGTTTTGAATCCATGAGAGAATATATTTATGTGATTTAAAAACACTGCATAGTTCTCTACATATAAATATACCTTTCAGTGATTGAATTAATTTCACAACAGTTGGAAATTGTTTTAAGTCGCACTTGAAAGTTTGTAGCGAACACTTTCAAAGTCCCTACACTTTATTCAAGATAAACTTTAAACATAAAAACCCTTCAAATTCATTGAGGATTTTGGTCCTATTGAATTTGATGTAAATATCAAATGCGTTCAATAGAAGTATTCAACAGCAAACATTCACTTAATTTAAGGATTTCGAGCAACAGGAAATGAATGAAAATAAAAGCATTCAGTTTTTAAATGTAAGAGCTTTGCAGTCAACTATCATGCAGCAAAAATTCAATTAATTACCGTCATAGGTAATAACATAATGGAGAAAATTGTAGGATTACATTGACGATCGCAGCCACTTCGCCAGCTCAAACACAAACAACTGTTCAGAACTTGGGGGTCTTAACTAATATAGTAACAATAAAAGAACATAAATTATATGCAACAATAACAGAAAGACATGAAAATGAGGATTTCTTGCAATCATTCAAGGGTTCCATGCATGCGACTTGAAGCTCTTCTTTGGGACGCCGATGCTTCTCAATATAACAAAGGCCCTGACAATCATCGCGCAGCAGGCAGGATGCAGACAATTCTGGTTGTAATTAAGACTTATTCGTCCATTTTGAACTTTAAAAACAATCAAGTAAATAAAATAAAGTTTTAAAACAAAGGATAACTTTTCTTCACTTTAAATTTTACGTTTGCAAGTTAAATTGAAGTGATTTGAAAATTCTGTTCGAATAATCAGTCTTGCTGACATCCAAAATTCTTAGCGCACCCACAACACAAAATTTCGGAAAGAACGGGCCAGGATGCAATCGTGGCAACAATACGAGTTAACCAACCCTATCTGTCATGGATTGTTGGTTGCTGAGCATCAACATTATTGTTAAATGCGTTGAAACACAAGAGTTAAATACTTCAAAATGTACCGTTGAATGTTTGAGATGCAGCTAATGGTATGGAGTTGTGATGGCAGTAACTGCCAGCCCATGACAAGCAGGGTTTAGGATGCGAACAAACGGTCAAAGTACAGAACATAAACAATTGATTTGTGTTGGCGTTGAAGGCCAACCGAGACATGAGGTTAAGGTCGGGCAACAAGAAGTACAATCTGGGCAATACTCAATTATACTGGCACTTGGAGCCAACTCGAGACACGGGATCAGGGATACACAGGAGGGTTCAGATGTAATAATGAACGGACGCACGAGCGCATGCGAGGTCTTGAGAACATCTAGTCGAAACTGACCGCGGGTTCATCAGTCGTACTGCGCGTGTCGTCAGCCTGGGACATGAGAGTGGTCTCATCTTGAGATTTGGAAGCAGCGTTAGAAACTCCAGGTGTTATTGCAGTGGAGTTTGTGGTCACGCTGGTGAAGGTGGTGCGAGCGTTTGTAGAAGACAACACAGGAGAACAACTGTTGCTGCTGCTGCTCTCGGCGTCATGGGAAATGAGCGACTGAGTGGAGCTTGGTGCGTGACTGGTTCGTGAAGAGGGAGGTGGAGCGGAGGAGCTGATGGGGGACAATATGCTGCCTGAGGGTAAGAGGATCCCTGCTGAGGATGCCATGACCATATCCTCCGTGGTAGGATGAGAGGATGCTGTGGTACAGCTCGTCTTGTTCGACCATACGGAAGGTTTGGATGGCATGTGGTGCTGATGAGGGGCGGTTGATGGCTGGTGGATGAGAAGAGTGCGCTGGAAGCTGTTGCACGGTATCAGCGATGTGTCGGCAGGTAGCGATACCACTGGCAGGACAATGCCTCCACTTCTAGGACCTGTAGTTGCAGAGCGTGCGGAGTAAGATTGCACATGGTCCGTATTAGCGCCGGTGATATTTGAATGGGATCCGACAACCGATGTCTTCGAGCAATGCATTGTTACTGAATTGAAGATTTTGTTGCCTGGTTCAGAAGAGACTTGCTGGCTGCCAGCAATGACGTGAACACCAGCAGCAGGAAAACAGGGCCCCGCGGCAGAGCAACAAGACGGGGGATGAACAGCGGATGGGAATGAGGAGGAAGGCAGCAGTGCAGGAGATAATGAAGATGATGATGGCAGGTGTATTGAAGAAGGAAAAGAGCAGGCGGGCGGTTGGTCTTGACTCGACGATGGGTAGTCTTGTTGCCGCAGCACAGGTAGAGTCTGCATTATTTCCAGCGGAGTTAAGACTCGTATGTGCTGATCAGAGTCGGCATCACACAATGCACTGTTGCTCGGTTGGCTGCAGGATACAAATGCAGGCCGGGAAGGAGTCCCAGATGTGAATTTGATTGGGGCTACTGAATTATTTGTTTGGTCTGCACTGCTGCTGATGATGCTGAAGCTCATGGATGATAGAGCGGAGAGGGATGATACGGATGAGGGCAGCGGTGAGGTAACCATGATCGGTGATGATGAGGAATCCACGTACGCCTCCATTGGCTTCCGTAGATCAGGGCTGACGCTCGCCATAATTTGAGGCGTCGACATACAGGATGTAACTGGAGGTACAACTTCTCCAGTAGAAGTAGCAGGAGTCATGGTCCTACTCATGGTCCTAGCATTACTCACGTCCTCGCAGGTACTCATGTCAACGACGAGAGGGCTACTCATGAAGCTTGAGGTGCATGGTGAGTCAACAGCAGGATTGGCAAGTGAAGAAACGTTCCGTATTTCGTCAAACGTTGCCGTGGATGATATCGCCGAATTGTTAGTGATTTTGCTAGGCGCTGCCCTCATACCCACGTTAGTCTTGGCGTCAAAATCAGCGTCACTGGAGGGCAACTCGCAAATTTCGGCATCACATGAGTCAAGGGCTCCTGCAGGTGCTGGTGGCGAAGAAGACTTTAGCTGGAATGGAGACAAAGTCGACCCAGACGCTGACGACGGAGATGAGAGAATTTGACGTGCACGAGCTGCGTTGGTGGAGGACGTCTCCTCGAGACCAACGTCTTCATCAATGTGACAAAGAGCCACTTCGTCATCACCGTCAGGATCGTCCACGCTGTCATCAGAGAGAGGAGGTGACGAAGGCATGGACGAGAGCGAGTCCACCAGAAAAGGAGAAGAGCATTCGACCGAAGGGGAGGCAGAATGGACGACATCGCCTCCGCCAGAAGAGGAGGAAGGTAAGCCGCTGACGTCGCTCAAGTCGATGGTTTGGAGGTCGGCAGCGTGGGCAGTGAGTAGAGGACAAGAGGTGGCCACAGCATGGCCACTATGGAAGACATCTTCTGGCTGGCTGCTCTGAGATTGGCAGGAACCACTTGACTGGATGCTGCCAGGGGGGAATGAACCACTCAACTGAGTGCTCTGAGCTGTACATGAACCACTCGACTGAGTGTTTTGAGCTGGGCATGAACCACTCGACTGAGTGCTCTGAGTTGCGATGGAACCACTCGACTGATTGCTCTGATCTGCGCATAAACCACTTGATTGGGTGCTCTGAGATGGACAGGAAGGATGATTGGAGGGACTCCAAACATGCTGCGTTCCAACCCCCGATGAACTTCCACTACAAGTGGTCGTGGTTGCTAACTTGTCCACGAGAACGTCTGTAGGTGCCGAGGACGCGCTGGTATCAGGCCCCGAGTGAGGCAAGGTGGGGGAAGAGCTTGGGCCGGGCCCCGCAGCTGGGGCAGGGATGGGGAGCTTCGAGAGGCGGCACTGCTAAGGAAGCACAACATACGTTGCTTCAGCAGAGGCTTGTTCATTATTATACTCTATGTAGAGGAACTTTCTGGAGATCCAGGGTATTGTCACTTCCTAAAACTTACTTACTCAAATTAGTTTCAGTATTTTGGAAGATAGGAAGCCGTTATTAGCGACCTTAAACTGCAAAGTAGCAAATACTATCATTCAGTAGGTGGAGTACCCTTCTTTTTAAGAGGCACGCAACTCGCGTATCATGGCCATCAGGAGCGTTCAACAGTTTTTAAAACAACAGCCCCAGAAATTTTGAAAAATATACAGGATTTTGTATATATATTCCCAGGGGTCAAAGGTAAAACCATGGGATGAAGCATTAACTTGGCCAGTGTTTGGGCAGAGTGAAAATTATTCTGAGAGAGAAAGAAGCCAATACTTAATGTAACCATGTTAGTAGGCCTAGAAGGGTTCGTAAAGTGATGTTAGTAGGCTTAGAAGGATTAGTAAAGTGATGTTATTAGGCATGGAAGGGTTAGTAAAGTGATGTTAGTATCAAACTTAGAAGAGGCGTGCATCGTGAGTACATCATAGTTAAGTTAGCTTCAAAAACTCGAGATATAATCTAGTTGATGCGAGAGCTCAACAAACAAGCTAGCATTTATAGTGAGTGAATGATAAGAATGATGACAACCTCTGAATGAGCGACAAAGAATTACTTAATTTACCAAGTCTGTACCTTACCTTCATTTATAGGTCTTAATTCATTAATTATACTGCAGGTTAATGTATGCACGACTGGATGAATGAATGAGGCGTGCAGATGGGTGATCAACATGAGTAAATGGGTGATGATACGGAGTAAATGGATGATTAACACGAGTAAATGGATGATTATACCGAGTAAATGGGAGACGATACGGAGTAAATAAATGATTACCACGAGTAAATGGGTGAATATACCGAGTAAATGGGTAATTGATCAATTAAGTGGATGATTGGTCGAGCCTCAGCACACAAGACAGCACCTGAGGAGGATTCCCTAACCAGTCAGGCACGTGTGACGTGTGACCTGTAGGATACAAAGACCTGTAGAATACAATGCACGTGTGACCTGTAGGATACAAAGACCTGTAGAATACAATGCACGTGTGACTTGCAGGATACAATGCTCGTGTGACCTGTAGGATACAATGCTCGTGTGACCTGTAGGATACAATGCACATGTGACCTTTAGTGCATGACTGTTATCCTGTGAGAGTAAAGCTCAACGTGATTGTGCGCAGGATGCATGACAGGTCTGACCTTACCCTTGAGGCAGGATGCAGCAATAGTCCTCACAACAAACCTGTTTGTTTTTATAGTAGTCCTTCTTGTTCTCACGCGCACGGGCGGCGAACTCCTTGCGCTGCTCGGCATCCAGGCTCTTCCAGATACGCTTGATCTGTCGCTCCCGGTCTGCGACGGCTGCAAGAACAAACTTATTAGTTCAGTACCTGTAGTAATAGTAGTGGTAGTGGTAGTAGTGGTGGTAGTGGTAGTAGTGGTAGTAGTGGTAGTGGTAGTAGTAGTGATAGTAGTAGTAGTAGTAGTGGTAGAGGTTTCTAGCGTTTTAGTACCAGTATAATGTTATCGCATTATATGACAAGACTTTTAGTCTCACGGAGCGGCGATCCATCGTGGCCTGGGACTGCTACGTCCGAAACATATACCAAGGATTACCAAGGACCATCAGCTTGACCGTGGACTACAAAGTCCTAAACTCATCATAGGTCTCATGGTCGTCTATTACATTATACCATACAACAGTGGTTGTTGCATGGTATAATGGAGTAATCAGCTTTTTTGGTATAATTAGCTTTAACATCGAATATTTACAGCCACAAGAATAAGAATTACCTCGAAGTTAAAGCGGCTACTTCACGTCGAGAGTTACTTAAAGATAAAAAATAAATGTAACTATCTAATTCAACATATAAATTAAATGTCATCATAGACTGGGAGTAAATCTTTGTCAACACAGTCAACAAAAGAAGACAAAGTCACAGTCAACAAAGAACATTTACACTAATGAAGGAATAACAAACTAGGTAAGAAAAACGATCAATAAGGGACCACGGGAATAATTCGAACAAATTAATGTCTGAAAGAAGCGATAAGAAGAACAAGACTGACTGGCAACGTCTGTGCGGATGTTAGGCTTGTGGATGTTGGTGTAGAGCACTGCAGCCTTGGTGGCCTTGTCGCCCAGAGCTTCATCCTCCTCCAGACTGAGGCTCTGTTGTGAGTTGTTGCTGCTCTCACTGCTCGTGCTGCTCGTGCTCGGCCATATCTGCTCACGTATCATAAATACTGTTAACATCTGCTGCTCGTGCTCGGCCATATCTGCTCACGTATCATAAATACTGTTAACATCTGCTGCTCGTGCTCGGCCATATCTGCTCACGTATCATACAATAATATTGTCAACATTGTCTGTTGCTCGCGCTCGGATATACATCATACACAAGTTAGTTAGTTTAGTGACCTATGATTACTAGAGCTTCAGCTGCTAAGCTATCTCGCGCCGAATGTCACGTTGGGACATCCTACACAAAAAATTCATCAAAAAAATTGTAACACAAGCCTTGCCAAGATTTATCTCAAGTACCGTAAGTGATATATTTGCCGTTGCATCTCAAGATCAGGACCAATATCCTCTCGTATGAAAATAACCTTGTTCTGTGCAGGCTGGTCTGGATAGGTCTTGTAGAGTGGTGGGTAGGTACGATTCTGCAAAACAGGGCCCTGTTGCTGTTGCCGTTGTTGCTGCTGCTGCAAGCCTGTTGATATCATCTGTTGATGAGGTGTTGTGCCACCTGGCAGCATCTGGTGACCAGCTGTTGGGATGCCAACTGTGGAGGACATAATTTGTTGCTGTGGAGCGATGATCTCTGACTGCTGTAAGGCGGGCGACTGCTGAGGCTGTAGAGCAGGCGAGTGTTGTTGCAGTGGTGCAGGATGCTGCTGCAAGGCAGGAGAATGTTGCTGCTGCACCACAGGCGAATGTTGTTGCACAACTGGCGGATGTTGCTGCAAGACAATAGGGTGCTGCTGCGCAACAATAGGATGTTGCTGTTGCTGCAAGGAAGGCTGGTGCTGCTGCTGCTGCTGCAAGACAGTAGTATGCTGCATGACAGCAGGCTGCGGCAAGGCGGCTGGGTGCTGTTGCTGCACAGGAGTCTGCAGCTGCTGCTGCATAGGAGCCTGCAGCTGCTGTTGCTGCTGCAGAGGCACCTCAGCAGCAATTGTGATGCTTTCACCGGCCAGCGATGCTGGACCAGAATTATATATAGTCTGTTGCTGCTGCTGCTGTTGTTGTAGCTGCTGCTGCTGCTGTTGTTGTTGTTGCTGCTGTTGTAGTATGGCAGTGCCAGCTGAGGTGAGCGGTGGGGTGGCCTGTGACACGACAGCTGCCACACCACACGTCACCGCTCCGCTGTAAATAGCAGGAATTTCAAATAAACGATCTTTACCATAAATCTGTGAACATGATTGTCATTATCATTTTTCACCAAACTGTAGCTAAAGCATTACAGGTTATTCAAATAAACGCTATAACTGGAAATGTGATTTCAAATTGTTAATCAATATAAACTAAAGCCCGCAGACGTCTTCGAAATTAGAGAGGATATGAAGCAATTTTAAAGTTTGAGACGCAAGCAGAAAATAACGGATGGATAAGATAAATATTAAGATAAGCAGAATATAACGGATAACAGATCAAAGATAAGAATAAACGGCGCCCACCTGGCGCTACCAGAGGCAAGGATGTGGGCCCTAACTGTCGGCAAGGCCCGGGCCAGAGGAATCAGTTGGCCCTGGGGCGCCGTGATGGCCTCAGGAGGGACAAGGCTGCTCATGATGCTGCTGCTGCTGGTTATGTTGCTAGCACAGCTGCTGACGATGTTGTTGTTTATGTTGCTGACCACATGCATGTCATTGGAGCCCAGCATGGGGGCAACACCTCCACTCGAAGACAAGCATGGATGCTGTGGGTAACATTAAATTAACAAAAATAGATTAATACAAATTTTACAATAGTATTTCTTCAGGTTAGAGTTAGAAGCCACAACTAAAAAATGAAAAGAGATGTGAGTACGTACTTCTGAGCCAGTACAATCATAATAAGAGCCGAACATGGTCATATGATAAGGATAAGGATGGATAAGAAGGTAGGTGTGATGTGGCCAAAATGCACGCCATAGTATTCTTCAGGTCACCTGCTGCTGTAGCTGCAGGGGCGAGCTGGCGGACAGAGCAGGCATGACGCCCGCAGGAGGATCGGCGTTCACCCCAGGGATCCTGACGAAGGCAGGCTGCTGTTGCAGCTGCTGCAGAATTGCAGTTGGCACCTGTAGAGTTCAGCAATATTAACCCATCGTATTTTAGTTGTTGAATAACGTGCATGGAATTTACCACAGCAATTATTTCTACTGAACCTCCTCGAACACTTGGATGCCAAAATCGCGAATTATAATTAATTTGCCCCTCGCACAATTGCCAATAAAAATTTCTTAAATGCTAATCATTCCTTCAAACTGGATATTAGTGCCGAGTAGGCAAATTTTGGAAAATTTATTGGTTCTTAGCAAATATTTAATCGTGTCAATCACACCTAAAAAGTTATAGAAACGAGCCACACGCACCTGCTGGTGGTGGGGATGCCGTTGCATGGGAGCTCGCGACGCCATAGGGTAGCCAGGTTCTCTAGGTGTGCCTGCTGACGAAGGCACGAGATGTGACCCAGGCTGCGGTATAGTTGGGTCTTCTTGCTTTATTTTTCTCTCGTGCATCGGAGAAAACTCCATGGATGGTGAAGAAGTCACGTGAATTTGTTCATGCATCGAAGTAGCCAACTGGTCAGTCTCCATACGCACATCCTCAAGAACACTGGAGTCGAGAGCCTCAGAGTCTCCCTCTCCAGTAGCAGAGCTGCCTTTACCACCAGCAGGGTGACTGGAGGTGGAAGCAAGAGCTGCACTAGTGACTTCCTCCAGAGCTTCGTCAGGAAGGCTCTTCATGATGTCAGCAACATCGTCCAAATTGAAACCAGGACCGAGGATATCCGTGAGCTTAGGAGCCACTGGCCTGGGAGTGGCTGACTCTTCCTTGCTGTGCTGCTCGTCTTCCTCATCCTCATGGCTGATGTCAGCATCCATTATGTCCCTCATGATGTCATCCGTCAGGAGATTTCGTCCTCCTCCAAACAGAGCTTCAATTGCCTCATCTGCATCTCCCAACTCCTCCTCCTTGATTTCTTCTTTTGGAGTAACTTTAGCGGCGGCAGCGGGTCTGGAGGTAATAGATGGGGCTGTAACATCAGCAGTAGCCGGATCAGCAATAGCCGTAGTAGGTACTGCTGAAATAGCTGTTATACCTCCCATACTCTTGCGCTGCTGCTGCTTTTGTACGAGCTGCTGCTGCTGGTGGTGTTGTCTTTCGCGTGCAGCTGCTACGAGATCAAGTTCGTCCTTACTGAGCTTTATGTGATGCTGAGAAACGAATACTCCAGGAAGAGGAGATGGACTTTCTGAATTTGCAGTGCCTTCACCCAAAGGTGCAGGCACATCCATGTCCTCCAACACTCTCGCTGTGTCTTCCATGGTTGTTGTATCCATCAGATTGCGGCCAAAGAACGCCTCTTGAATGTACGAAGGAAACGTCTCAAGCAACTTGATTTTCTTCTTTGTGCGCCAGTGAGTTCTTTTCCTGCGCGCCTCAAGCTCCTTTGGGTCGAGCTGAGCCTCTTCCTTGGCTCGCTCTTCCTCCCTCTTTATCCGACTTCGCACCTGGAATCCTCCTATTCCCAGGGTCTTGATGTTCCTGTATCGGCGCTTACGAAGGATGAAACTACCCGGTTCCTGGCCTGGGTATGTATAGAATCCTTCAGGCAGCACAGGCGGACTGCCATCTTCCTGGGCCTGTAGCACGGTTCCCTCCTTGAGACCATAAACCCAGTGACGGGGTTCTTCGTCTTTTTGACGTTCGTCGTCATCAGCGTCGTCGTCATCTTCCAAGTCTCGACTGCTGGAGCTGTCCAGGGAAGGTCGGAAGTGCGGACGCATCGGCTTAGGCGGGTTCCTCATCTTTTTCAAAGGCTCTAACGTCAAGGTTTTTATGTGTACCATACCAGAGTCTGAGAGGCATATTCCGTCCACCCAGTGATCCGTTTTGGAGTTACTCCTTGGTAACAAATCTGAAGGACTTGTACTCCTCGTAGGAGAATCCACACTGCAAGCTCTCACCATCATGAAGCTGCCAACACTAGTAGCAGGAGTCCCGTGGGTCCCGGACGATGCTATTATAGACGAACTCATGCTGGTGGTTGTGGTGATATTGGGAGCCATGTGAGCAGGAGATGTGGTGGTGGAGGATACAAGTGAAGGAGAAGGGGAGGTAGGCACAAGATGTGACGGCTGAGAATCAGGAGGCCGGCAATCCTGGCAAGAGTATCCTCGCTCAGCACATTTTTCGGCGTCATCCTCTGTGTGGATGTAGTCGTGCAGACCATGCATCCAGCGGCTGCAGTCGTCGCACTGCACAATGAGATCACCATCCCTGAAGGTGGAGGCGCACACGGGGCACGTCGTGAGGCTGTGGCAGGGTCCACACATGCTGTAGTTCTGCTTCCATGCGCTTTTCGACCCTGGGTCCTTGGAACCGCAGTAGTGACAAAACGCGCACCTGGAACAAAAGAGAATGTAAGAGACAGGAGATTAGGGCGTTAATTGAAAGGTAAAAGGCAGGGCATTAGGGCGTTAATTGGAAGGTAAAAGGCAGGGCATTCGGGCATTATTTGAAAGTCAAAAGGCAAGGCATCAGGGCATTAATTTAATTAGGGCCAGGGTGTGAACGAGGAACATCGTTCACTAATTTATTCAATGTGCATTTTCTTGTGACGAAATTATTCTATTACGTCTGGCGAAGCTGCGCTAGAGACATGCGAGTCAGGCCTATAGCAGTCGGACCGGTGTAGTACGAGGTCAGGTCTGAGCGTCTGTGCGTCAGGTAGTGAGTTGTTTCCCGCCAGCCCTACAGTGAGGTTCTAGCCTGAACTCACCTCGCTCCGTTGCTCCACTAGCGATCTTGTGCCCTAGTGCTAGTTACTGTGGCTGTGCTCTATATGCTCCATCAAAGCAGTGTACCTAATGTCCATCGTGCTTGTCTGTAATTTTTTAAACGTATCCCTTTGAAGCGCTGTGCTGAAATAAAACTAAGTTTTACTCGTGTAACCGAACTTTTAATGAATGAACATCCCAGTGCAATAAAGTGAACTTTTTACAAGATAGTTGCCGGCGTTTGGCCGTGGAGCTTCGATCATCCTGACAAGATTAAAGGTAGCGGCACACGTCCGGTGACAAGGGTATTAGGCTATTAATTGGAAGGTAAAAGGCAGGGCATCAGGGCATTAATTTAATTAGGGCCAGGGTATTAGGCTATTAATTGGAAGGTGAGAGGCAGGGCATCAGGGCATTAATTTAATTAGGGCCGGAGTATTAGGCTATTAATTGAAAGGTAATGGGCAGAGCATTAGGGCAGAAAGGATCAAGCCATTCTAGTTTACGTTAGGATAATATTCACATTCGACGTCAAATTTAAATCCATTTCCCGGCCATAAGCCACTCTTGCTCTGGCCACCAGCGCAATAGATTAGCAGCATAATGTGTGCACTTGATGCGAAATCTTCATTTGCCATAACCGTGATCATGATATTCTGTACAACCTCTGAAACATTTAAGGGACCATACTAATTTCTCTGGCGTCCATTCCAGTTCCGGTTGGGGAGACTATCCGGTACACCCAAGTTAACAGCAAGACTATCGAGACTACCACAGCATTTTGTTCAATCCGTCAGTCCAACAACATTCTACCGTCAGTCGTCTGTGGTTCTACCGTCAGTCGTCTGTGGTACTACCGCCAGTCGACTGTGATTCTACCGTCATTCGTCTGTGATTCTACCGCCAGTTATCTGTGATTCTATTGTCAGTCGTCTCACTCGTCTGTGATTCTACCGCCAGTCGTCTGTGATTCTACTACCAGTCGACTGTGATTCTACTGCCAGTCGACTGTGATTCTACTGCCAGTCGTCTGTGATTCTACCCTCAGTCGTCTGTGATTTTACCGCCAGTCGTCTGTGACTTTACAGTCAGTATCTGCACTCCTTTTAAGGACCTGGCTTGGTTCCTCCAGAAATTTCACCTCATTTTGGTCAAGTATTCGTTCCAATATCCTCGTCTATTCATTTATATTCAATTAAAATTATTGTGTAATCCGTCCATTATTACCCATCAATTCGACTGATGCCGTTCAGCCTCTCCAATACCCAGAGACAAGGGCATTAATTGAAATTTAAAAGGCATGGCATTGCAAACGAAGTGCGAGCGTCTCACCACTTGCACTTCCAGACGCCCTGAGGCACGTGAGGCAGGGGAGGCGTCATGCAGTAGATGTGGCAGGATATGTCGCAGTCTTCGCACAGCACAAGTCTGGCCTCATCGTTGCGCTCCCCGCATCCTTCACATACCGTGCAGTCCAGGCACCGCCAGCCCTTCTCCAGCACCACGCGGTTCACCTGACAACAAAATCAATTGAATTTATTTTATATTTCAACAAAAGCAATTGAATTAAGTAATAAGCAGTGATCCGGGCCATTGTCTTGTCCTACACTAAATTTGTTTAGCTTCTTTCACTTCATGAAAAGACTCAAAGGGCATTAAAATTCGCATATGTTAACTTCATACAGGTTAAAAGAATGAGAGAAACTGTCATCTCAGTATACCTACTTGCTTGTCATCACACTACACTACCAGCCCGTCATCACACTACACAATACATCACACACATGTTAAAGAATGTTACATCACACTACATCACACACATGTTAAAAGAATGAGAGAATCTGTCTTCTCTTCATACCTACTTGTCTGTCATCACACTGCACTACCAGCCCGTCATCTCATCTTACCTACCTGCCCATCATCACACTACAATACCTACCTGTCATCACACTGCGTAACGCCCCATAACAGACATCATCATTCATATAACTCCGTTATCATAAGCTGTAGAAGAAGAGCTTACGTTTCCTGAACAAAGCCCACCCCGAAACAAACGACACGTTCATACAGTGCAGCCACATATATACTGTACTTTACGCTTGTGATGTCATACATTGCACCTTAACATTAGCACAGAAGGGGTGGTAGCACTGGCCACAAACCTTAACATTAGCACAGAAGGGGTGGTAGCACTGGCCACAAACCTTAACATTAGCACAGAAGGGGTGGTAGCACTGCACACACCTCAACATTAGCACAGAAGGGGTGGTAGCCTGTCTCTTATACACATCTAGATGTGTATAAGAGACAGACTCAACTGATTGCTCTGATCTNGGCACAGGCTATAAGCCTGCCCTCCTGGTCCTGCCCGAAGGCCCCGCACATGGCACACACGTCCTGCCAGATGCTGAAGGCATCACCTCCGTCCAGGACGATCATCTTGTTCTCCTCCCCCTCCTCCTTGCCCCCACCTCCACCGCTCTCCCGCTCCATGGCCTGCAGCAAGGGACAACAATGACAACAGCTGGCAAATTACTTATATAATTAAACCCAAAAAGCCAATTAAAAATGTAAATTAGATATTAGAAGTACACATAACCCTTCGTAACAAAAAAAAAAGGCTTCAAGTGTTTATTTCCATTGTTTAGATTTTCAATCAAATTTCATAATTCAAGAATTACTTGTAACAGTGAAATATAATCCTCAGGCTAGCGCAACATGTAAATTAGTCTAACAGAGTCCACTTAGCACACAAAATTTTAATTCTTCAAATTATTCAATAAATATGATGCTTAGGTTCAATGGCAACTCTGAATATTAATTGTAGAACTTCTTTGTTAAAAATTACAATATGAATCATTATATTTTATACAAAAAATTATATCTATTATATGCAGAAAAATTACAATATGAATGATTCTATCCAGAACACGTCAGGGTTTGGTAGAAAATACACCCCAACCTGCATATCTTCCCAGTCTCCCGAGCGTGGCCTGGGGCTGCTACGACCTATCCCCATTCTAAGGATATTAATAACCCACCATGACCGCCTGCTGTTGGTAGCTGAAGAAGCTGCGGTAGCCGCCAACAGACGAACCCCTCATGGAGACCGCACCTCTTCCACCCCTGCTGGGCCGCCCTCCCGTCACCCCCACCATCTTCCCCCTCTTGGTACCCCTGACGCTGGTGCCACTGCCACTCAGTTGCTTGCGAGCCATGCTGCTGCCAACGCTGCTGCTCATGCTGCTACTGCCACTCCCTGCACAACATTTACACACACAATTACTGGACACGTCTTATGTTAAGTCTTCACTTCATTATCATTTTTGTAATGTGATCTGTCATTATTCATTTACTCGCTCAAAGTATTGTGAGGAAACTAAAACTTGAGCCTCGACAACGCTGATTACTTGCGGCGTCTTGTGTTAAGTCTTCAGTTCAGGGCCTATACTTAAAAAAAAATAAGAGATCGTAAGTTCATAAGCCAATCATTGGCGGCCTTTCAAGCAAAATCCACCAATCATGGACAAGAAAATAGAGCGTAAGTACTTACGTTAACTTAGCAAGTTTTGAAAGTATGGCCCCAGGATCCTTATCGTAATGTGGTCTGCCATTATTCATTCATTTGCTTCACGTATTGTGAGGAAACTAAAATTTCAGCTTCAACATCGCTCATTGATGAATGAAGGGGACAAATGAAACGCTTCTTTGCAACAATAAACGTCTTCACTTCCATTGCTACCTTAACCCATTAATTGGATCTTAAAGTTCATGTATGAATAACATAACTAGTAAGATGTTAAATTAATGAGCATGGGTTATGACGGTTAAACCTGAATGCGTCATGAAGCTTGTGGTTGAGCCTAAATAAGTTTGAATTCTAGTCAAGTAAACAGTTTCATGATAAATTTACGTCAAATTTGAAATAAATCCAGAGCAAGCCTCTCCTCCCTCTGCAAAACAAAAAATATCTGTGACCTCATCAGCTGGGGATACCGACTACTTTTATCCCTTTCGAATGTTTCATTCAGAGGGGATAATCATCCCCTTTCACACCACTTTCTCCCCAACCCTGAGTCAAGTCCTCACTACATTAGGGGAACTCACCGCCTTTGCCGCCCTTCCCCGAGGAAGAAGAAGCAGCACCTCGCACGCGGGGTAGGAAGGGGTTACCGCGCTTGTTTAGAGGCAGGGGTTTGCCGCGGTTGAGGTAGAGACTAGTGGACAGGTTGCCTGTAGAGCTCCCGTTATTGCTGACGGTGCTGGGGGTGTTACCGATGCTCGTGTTGTTACTGCCGTTAGTGCTGCTATTACCTGCAATATTGTAACAATTATAACCACGTTAAAAGGATAAATATTGTACGGTAAACAGAAGGAGAAATCATTCAGGTTAGAAGCTAAAGGATAAATGATACAAAGAAACTAAAGGAAAAATCCTAGAGTAAATCCAAGAAGAGTATAATACGCAGTAAATAATGATGGGAAATAACACTTCATAATAGAAGTAGCTCTTACCGGTGGGGGAGCCACCGTATGAAGAGGAGCCCCAAAAGGCGCTCGCCAGGGTGGCTGTAGCAGGGGTACCGCAAGCGGGCCCCTGGAGCTGTAGCAGCGAACTCAGCCTGCAGTAATAACGTGTAGTAAACAACCTCATCGCATCAATACCAATGCTAATATTAACTTGGGAATAATATTTGAGGTGACACACAATAGTTCTTGGGAAATACTACCTAAACTTAGTCAAGTGCATGTGGAGGCCAAAATACACGTAGNAGTAAACAACCTCATCGCATCAATACCAATGCTAACATTAACTTGGGAATAATACTCGGGGTAACACACAATAGTTCTTGGGAAATACTACCTAAACTCGCTGAAGTGCAAGTGGCGACCAAAATACAAGTAGCTGCACTGCTGCAATAAGTGCATATGCTGAAGCTGGTACGTTGCGATCGAAAATTTCGTTCAAATTGATAGGGATGATGACGAATTTCTGTCTATATCTTGTCTGTGATATATGGGTTAAGCTTGATAAGCCATCAGTAATTAGCTGAAGTATTTACTAACTATTTTTGACATTTCGCCCCTGAATTAATTTACAGTGTCTCAAAACTAGGATACGGGATGTTACTCTGGGGTTTGTGAAGATATTAATTTGAATATAGCAAGCACACTGCATTGCTCAAGCCAATAACTAATCAAGAATTTATATATTCCAAGGAACGGTGCCTACTCTCAATTAGTATAACATTGTCTAGAGTAGAAATTCATAGTTCTGTTCTATAGCAAGTTAATGCGTCAATGCTCAATAATTTGATAAACAGTTCATGTATTTTAACTTTGAACGCTCGCTGCATGAGTGACGTGAAGGCGCTGAGTTTTCAGAATAAATTCAAAAATCTCCTTTCAATTAATATCAATTTTTTTACAACATATCCATGTTTTCACTATATTGATAATTAATAAAAAAATTGAACTAACGAAGGATGTACTCTGTTCCAAAAGTTGCAATCAGGCAATAAAGCCTTCAAGATCACGCCATTTCTCAATTATTATTACAATTTATGGATTCTAAGTTCACGCAATTAAATAGAAGAATAAAGCCTTCAAAATCACGCCATTTCCCTATAATTATTACAATTTATGGATTTTACGTTTGCGAGATTAAATACCTAGAAATTAAATATAAGATAGATAAATAGCTATGTTACTCACGCGCTTTGCCCCAGCCCGGCGAAGGAGGTGCGGCGCGGTGGGGGCGGCGGCCCTGTGGGCGTAAGGCCCCCGGGACCCCCATCCTCCGAAGTGTCCATGGAGTCCTGGTCGCTGAGGGCGCTAGAGTCCTGCGTGCATCCTTCGCTCGAGTCCTCACCCATGCGCACGCACGGCCCTGCTGCACAAGTAATATTGAAATCATATTCATAACAAACTTAAACCGTTGTTTGACTGCAAAGGAGCAAAAGTTATATTTACCAAGTCATATTCATGACAAACTTTAACCGTTGCTTGACTGCACAGGTACAAATGTAACTAAATTGTAAATATATAGGGGCGATTGTAACGTATAAAATAAAGCAGACTGACATAGGTTCAGGTACAGATTACTTGCTAACATTGTTGGCTTAGTGATTGACAAATCGACTTCAGTGCCCGCTAAAAGACGTCATTTGTCTCTGAGATATTATCTGAAGGAAAGCCTACACCGCTGCGACATAGTTTGCTCAGTACCTATACTATTTTGTTCATGTATAAACCTGACTGAAATATACCCAGAGAAGTGGCCTAAATCACCTAAATCAATCGAAGTGAATGGTTCATCGGAATTTGTACAAAATAAGATTATAATTTAAATCTGTCAAACAATCTCCTGATCTAGTAGCTATGAAAGGATATATCACAATCACTCCTGATCTCGTGCCAATGAAAGCCCACCAGGTTAAAAGATGCGCACATACAATAAAATTACCTCAACAAAATGGGGTGTCGCACACCTTAACATTAGATTTAACTACTTCATTAACCATGACATAAAATTAACCTTGTCATAAAATAACCTTGACATAAATTAACCTTAACATAAAATGAACCTTGAGATAAAATTATCTGACCAGAGCGTGGGTTGGCGCGGCAGGCGGCGCAGCGATACTCGTAGGAATATAGGGCAATTGTAACGTACAGAATAATGCAGACTGACGTGGATTAAGGTACACATTACTTGCTAAAATTGTTGGCTAAATGGTAGACAAATCGACTTCAGTGCCTGCTAAAAGACATCATTTGTCTCTGAAACATTATCTGAAAAAAAAACATACACCGCTACGACATACTTTGCTTTGTATACTATTTTGTTTATGTATAACCTGAATGAAATATGCTAGGAAAGTTGAACAAAATCATCTACACCTCAGAATTTGTACAAAATAAGATTACAATTTAAATTTTGTCAAATAATAATGAAATATGGCGAATTACGTTCACCTTCTTTCACTTATAATAACTGAGTTCATAAATAACGACATGTGATCCCACATACATCACAATCACTCCTAATCTTGTACAAATGAAAGTCCACCAGGTTGAGAGATGCACATACACAATAAAAGTGACTAAACAAAATGGGGTGTCGCAAACCTAAACATTAGATTTAACTATGACCTTATGATGAGTTTAGGACTTCTTAGTCCAAGGTCACGCTGATGATGATAACTACTTAATTAACCTTGTCATAAATTAAAATTAACCTTAAAATACAATAACCTTGACATAAAATTACCCTTGACATAAAATTAAAATTAACCTTAATATAAAATAAACATCGAGATAAAATTATCTGACCAGAGCGTGGGTTGGCGCGGCAGGCGGCGCAGCGATACTCGTAGGATGGATCAGCCTTGACGCGAGCTGCGATGCCCGCTAGGTCCGCCTCAGCGTCGCATCCTTTGTGCACGTGTCTGGGACGATCACAGAACTTATTGAAGACAGGAAAACTTCAACGCAGGTTCTAAGAATACCAAACCATCGATAATAAATAATTGTTCTAATAGTGACGCACCATCTGATTTTGTGTGGATATATTGACCCATTTTGGCCCGGCTAAAAGAGGCATGAATGCTAGCTCCGATCTCAGCTTGTGTGCATGGCACATTCACACACTAGTTAATAACAGGAAAACTTCACGCACGAACTTAAGATCCCACAATATCACTTAACAAAAAAAGTTGCTTATTGTCCAAATAGCGATGCACTTTTTGATATTAGGTCATGATATTGTCATCATGACCCAGATTGTTTTGTATTGATATTGTCATCATATGTTATGATATTGTCATCATGACCCAGATTGTTTTGTTTTGATATGGTCATCATATTGATATGTTTTGATATTGTCATCATGACCCAGATTGTTTTGTATTGATATTGTCATAATATTGATATGTTTTGATATTGTCATCATATTGATATGTTTTGATATTGTCATAATATTGATATTTTTTTATATTAATATTGTCATCATATTGATATGTTTTGCTACTATCATCATAACTCAGTTAGGCTCGAGCTACTGACTTGTTACAGACGGTGCACTGGGCCATCTCCCGCTGCATGACGGTCCTGTAGGCCTTAAGACACACAGGGCACGCCAGCCCCTTGTTGCGCAGCTGGTAGCACGAGTCGCACACCGTGAAGTTTGAGTGCCAGCGAGAACAGTTGCCGTTGCCAGGAGTACGGGCACCACAGTCACCACACACGCGGCATGTCTGTGGCAACACGTGCATGTTAAGAACAAAACTTGGACATTATGGCAACACGTGTGCGTATGTTATGGACAAAACTTGGACATGTCTGTGGCAACACGGGCATGTTATGAGCTAACCTTGGACATGTCTGTGGCAACATGTGCATAAACCTGGACATGTCTGTGGCAACACGGGCATGTTATGAGCTAAACTTGGACATGTATGTGGCAACATGTGCATAAACTTGGACATGTCTGTGGCAACACGGGCATGTTATGAGTGAACAAAACTTGGACATGTCTGTGTCAACACAGTGTTTTATATGATTAAGATGTGGCCATGATAATCATTGAGCAGGCGCAATATCTGATGATATGCAAGCACAGCCTGATACCTTGCACTTCCAGTCTGCCTTGGAGGCGTTCAGGCCGAAGGGCTTGGCGCAGCTAGAGTGGAAGGCCTTGTTGCACACGTTGCATGTCAGGTCGTCCGCGGGGTGCCCGCATATCTGTACACAAAATCAAATGTCACATTCATTGCAATGCACTACAATTTACTATATTGCAGTTTACATTTTAAACTATATAGCACTTTACATCATAAACTAAGTGGTAGTTTATATTTTAAAATAAATGGCAGTTTACAGTTTAAAAATTTCATTTTTTTAGTCATTTCACTGTGTTCATGTTGATTTAAATGAATATCACTGAATATTAAAAATAAAGATTATTGCAACTAGCTTGCAGGTTAACCTGACCATGCAATGAGATAACAGGGAACAGCTTAGCAATTAAAAAATCTTGCATTGAAAATGAACACAGTCAGTTTTAAATGTCTTACACAAGGCATGGGACGAAACAAAGTATATGAATAGCATCGATTTTTAGTATACACACAATGTAAATTACATAGCACCAAAAAATGAAGAATATTAGATATGACGGTAATACATGACAAATATTAGTGCACGATGAGTTTCAGGGCACCTGCAGGTGTGTAATAATAGAAATAAAATAATATTAATATTGTCTGTTTTACCTGGCAAGTCTTGCAGTCATTGCACTGGTATCCCGCCCTGACCACGGGGGTGGGGGCGATGGGGGGCTTGAGGCAGGACGCGTGGTAGTGCGCGTTGCATGACACGCACCACACAAACTGCTGGCCAGGGGCGAACATCCCGCACACGCTGCACACCACGCCTGGTACTGCACGCAGGTATTCGTGTTAGTACAGAGTATTGGTAGCAGTTTATGAGTACATGCACCACACAAACAGCACCCTATGCCTGGTACATAGCAGTTTATGAGTACATGCACCACACAAACAGCACACCACGCCTGGTACTGCACGCAGGTATTCGTGTTAGTACAGAGTATTGGTAGCAGTTTCTGAGTACATGCACCACACAAACAGCACACCACGCCTGGTACTGCACGCAGGTATTCGTGTTAGTACAGAGTATTGGTAGCAGTTTGTGAGTACATACACCACGCAAACAGCACCCTATGCCTGGCACTGCATGCAACATATTCGTGTTAGAGGCCACACTATCGAAAATAGTTACAGGTTCATAACTCTCAGCCAATCAGACTTGACAAGAAATTGGCCACTACATGTACTAATGCATTTTTAGTGCATTTTCTCATTTATGAAGAAAGACACTATTGTGCTCGCCATGTCCGTCTGCCTGTCTGAGCCTCCGTGACTTCACGTTTTTGTCGACAAGAAAATGCGCTCTCTGTCACTCACTGCAGTGAGTACTGACTTATATTTTTTTCTATTTTAAACACGGCCACAGAACACAGCTTGTTCCGTGATGTTACAATGCTTGTGATATCTCTATATTAAGCAGACTGTACTGGTAGAGTGCACGGTGATTGAGTTTTAAATTAAAGGAAAGAAATCAAAATAATAAATAAACTTAGGAATCTGAGCTCATTATCTCGGCCACTTAGAATCTAAGTAAACATACTGGGCACCACCTGCACTATAATTCAGATGAAAAATCATGTAAAAGATAGCATTTGTTAAATAAAACTTGCTCGGCATTAAACTATACTAAATTGAACAGATCAAACACTATGATCCTACAGGAATCGTAAAAGAAAGACAATAGATAGGACTATAATCCTACAGGATTAAAAGAAGGACAATAGATAGGACTTTCATCCTGCAGGATTAAAAGAAGGACAATGGATAGGACTATAATCCTACAGGATTAAAAGAAAGACTGGACTGGAACATACACATGGCGGGTGTTTTCTGGACGTGGTTGGGGCAGAGCAGCGTGGTGCTGTGCTGGTCCAGGATGGCGCCTGAGCTGCTGCCGCATGGCAGGTGGTATACGTTGTCGCACCCGGAGACCTGCTCATTCATTGTCATACCGGTACATCATTTCATACACCATATCATACATCATGTTATTCATTGTGTCATTCATCAAATCCTTACACTGTGTCATTCATCGTATCATTCATCATGCCAAGTGTTACACCTTGTCACACCGAGATACCTGCTCATTCATCGTATAATGCATCATGTCATTCAACATGTTATTCATCATGTCACTCACCGAGTCATTCATAGCATCATTCACAATGTCACTCACTATGTCACTCATCATGAAAATTAGATTTTTTTCTGAGCTTAAAAATAAAATATTTAAGCTAACAAACGCACTTCAAGAGTTGCAAATTCGCTGTTATTTAATTATCAGAGATTCAGCCAACATTGATTAATAAAAAAATAATATGCTGGAGAAATATTCATATAATAATAATAATAATAGTAGTATTAACAATGATATAAATAATATAGAAGGGGAAGCGACCTTGCAGTACACGGAAGTACAAAAAAAAATGATATGCTGGAGATAATATATCGAGAATAATATTGATACAGTACAAAAAAATAATAATATGCGAGAGATTTATTCATGTAACACTAATGATAATAATAATGTAGAAGGGGAGGCGACCTTGCAGTGGAGAAATATTCATTTAATAATAGTATTAATAATATAAATAATGTAGATGTGGAAGTGACCTTGCACGGAGGCCCCGAAGTTGCAATAATATGCTGGAGAAATATTGATATAATAATAATAATATAAATAATTTAGAAGGGGAAGCGACCTTGCAGTGGAGAAATATTCATTTAATAATAATAATAATAATATAAATAATGTAGATGGGGAAGCGACCTTGCGTAATAGTGATAATATAAATAATGTAGAAGGGGAAGAGACCTTGCAGTGGAGAAATATTCATTTAATACATGGCAGGTGGTATACGTTGTCGCACCCGGAGACCTGCTCATTCATTGTCATGCATATCATACACAACGTCATACATCATCTCATGCACCATGTCATACATTCTGTCATTCATCATATCATACATTCTGTCACACATCATATCACACCATGTCACACATCATATCATACACCATGTCATTCATCATATCATACACCATGTCATTCGGTTTTTTCTAAGCTTGAAAATAAAATAAGCTAACAACCGCACTTCAAGAGTGGCAAATTTGCTGTTATCCAATTATCAGAAATTCAGCCACCATTGAATACTACAAAAATAGTATGCTGGAGAAATACTGATATAATAATAATAATAGTAATAACAATGATATAAATAATGTAGATGAGGAAGCGACCTTGCAGTACACGGAGGCCCCGAAGTTGCCGCACAGGGAGCACGGGACGCCAGCGGAGGTGGCAACACTCTTGTCCACCCCCACAAGGCCCCCCTCACCCCCCGCCTGCTGCACCCCCGCACTCCACAGCCCACACTGATAGTGAACTGCCACCTCCCCTGCACATATACATTATCTTTAGTTTCATACATTATCCTTAGTTTCATTATACAAGTACTGCATATACAACTTGTATAGCAATTGCTAAAATTATAATAGAATATGATCAATAAGGCAATTATGTAGTGGCAAACTGCTACAGGTCACGATGATATAAAAAGTTTCAACGATATCAGTTGTGTCAATTTAAAAAATTTGAATATACATGTCTAAACACTACGCACATAAAAAAGTGAATATAAAAAATTATACAATATAATATAACATAAATGTGGAAAAACACAACATCTAATCAATACCTTACCCAATAAAAAATCTGACGTTTGAAACATGGGTGTAAAGTTACATTAGCTTTCCATCATTTTCTGCATAAAGTTTAGCCTTTTCTTCATGATATTTGCTTAATTTCTTTTATTTCTAAATGAGCAAAACTTTTGTCGTTGTTTTGGTTCCCCGTTCTAATTTTTACAAGAGACCCCCCTCGCGCAAGTACACCACCGACAGGGGGTCACTCCAGAGCCGTAGGGCCGAGGTTATATGGTGGATGAGCAGAACTTGCCTGATGGGGAGAAGAGGAGGCTGACGGAGGGCTCGACGGCGTGCCCCACGAGGTGGATCTCCTCCACAGGGTCAGGACATTTCTCTCCGATGTGCTTCCTGATGGGCTTCACCTTCCTGCAACAACGCATTCACAGACACCGCCACGCAGGTTTCAACAATGCATACAATAAACGAGGAGATTTTGTTAACATGAACCAGAACAAAACTCTTAGGATTATTTAAGTATACAAGACTCATTGCCAAGACAGGATTCTTTTGAATTGTCAATTTCTGGTGTGCAGAATGCGTACCAGCATTTATAAAAAAAATCCATGACTTTTCCATGACCTGGTTCTAGTAATTTTTGAATGTTAACTGAAAAGAGAGTAGTTGGAGCAGCAGAACTAAACTTTGCCAGAACATGTACATGATGTGTATCAAACCTACGCATCCACTTGTATATCTATTTGATCTTACAATTTTATTAAGAATTCATTTTTCTCCGCTGGTTCCAAATGGAACCGCTCGGCATTAATGGGTTTAAACTTGCAGCACCGAAAAGCACTTCCTTTTTGTCTTCATTTATTTGCAAATTCCATGACTTTCCATAACCTGAAATGGAATCCCATGACATTCCAGGCCAGGAAATTGAAAAATCAAATTCCATTACTTTCCGGGTTTTCCATGACTGCTACACACCCTGGGTGTGCCCCCTAGAATATGTTAATATATTCAAGTAATTTTGACAAATATCTTCCAAACAATTTTAAAAATTTTGGTTTCCCAGCATTTGCTTGCCTTCAATTTCATTGCCCTCTAAAATGCTTGATCATGGATAGTGACACAACACGCACAGCTTTTCTGAAACATTTCTCATCTCAGTTTATTTAAATAAATAAATCGATTAAATAAATTGATTAAAATAAACAGAAGTTTGATATCATTCCACACAAAATCATCTCACTGTTTATTTCAATAAATCAATTACAATAAAGATAAGTTTAATATCATTCNTCCAGTGAAAGGCTGTGCTCCAGTCGCCGCCCACCGCGACCACTGCATATAGGAAAAAATATAACTCAGTACCACTGTAGTGAGTGACAGAGAGCGCATTTTCTCGTCGACGAAAACGTGAAGTCATCGACGGACGGACGGACGGACAGACAGACAGACAGACGCACGGACATAACGAGCACAATAGTGCTTTTTTCATAAATGATAAAATGCACTAAAAATTCTTTTTTCTTACCAAAACTGTAAAGATTTTGTGTGTACAAAGAGGAAAGAATCCCGGCCCAGGCCACAAAAATACATGACATTTTTAAGAATAAATGAACACTAGGAATTAGGAAACCAAGTTCAATGGTAGTGAATAATACTCATCCAAAAATGTTAATTTACGCATTTTAATCTAATTTATACTCATCAATTGCGCGTAAATCTAAAAAGAAAAAATCACTCACAGAAAAATGCTAATTTACATGTTTTAATTTGATTTGTACTCATTAAAATAGCGCTAGAAACCCAAAATGGAAACAATCACTCACAGTCCAAAAGGTTTCTTTATTTTCAGAGCACCACTGCCACCGCGTTTGATGGTCAGAGACGTGGACCTGGCGAGACTCAGAAGTCCTGCCCCCAGTGGAGCCCTGGGCCGCACCACGCCCCCTCTCAGGGCTTTGCTCAGCATCCCTCCAGCAGGAGAGCTGCCGGCACTGCTGCTGCGGCTGCCGAAATTGACAGGCACTAGAGGGATGGTGGGCATCATGTCCAGCGAGGTGCTGCCGGTCTTGGCCACCAAGTTGGGACTGGTTTTAGGGACCCCGACTCCTAATATAGACTTGCTGGCCCCAGCATTGCTGGTGGTGGTGCTGGCAAGGCCATAAGGTCTCGAGGCACCACTGCTGCCCCCTGACAGGAGAGAGAACAATCCCCCACTCTGGCTCAGAGGCGAGAGGCTTCCGCTACCAGAACCTGCAACCGAGATAAGTTTATAAAACAAGTATATGAGATAAGTATATAAGATAGGAATATAAGATAGGAATATAAGATAATTATAACCTGCAACCGAGGTAAATATATAAGTTAAGTAATATAAGATAGGAATATAAGATAAGTATAACCTGTAACCGAGGTAAGTATATAACTGTACTGCCATGCATATTATAAAAAACAGATAATGTGGCAAAATAAGATGAAACAGTCAAATTTTATATGCAATTTGATTTTTTATGAATAAATTGTACGATATTAATTATGAATGGTTTCTTTTGAGTTTGCAGCCTATTCAAATGGAATCTTCAAATAACAATGAGGCATTAAAGTCTTGTGTAAAATGAAGAAAGTTTCTCTCATCAAGGCCAAACCAGAAGGCTTTCATATATACATGGTAAACATATATTGACAAAAAATTGCTTAAGACTACAACTGATCTCCATGTTGATCTGACCAGGATTACTGCCAGTGCCAGGGATGGGGTTGGTGGCAGTGTAGGGGGGAGGGGGAGGCCGCAGCAGCAGAGGACTTTTGGAGGCAGCAGCCGGTGAGCTGCCACCGCTGCCAGCAACGCTGGAGTACGGAGGAGGCTGGGTGCGTGGAACTGTGGGAGGTGACAGCAGGGCAGCCGCCACGTCACTCAGTAGGGCTGAGCTGGCACCCACATCCACTACCAGGTCAGTGGGTGGACAAATACTCATGGAACTTTGGCTGCTGCTTCCTGATGAATTGGAAATACAAGGTTTACAAAAATATAACTCAGCACTCACTGCAGTGAGTGACAGAGCACACATTTTCTCATCGACGAAAATGTCACAAGACACAGACGGACGAACAGACAGACGGACATGGCAAGCACAATAGTGAATTTTTTTCATAAATGAGAAATGCGCTAAAAGTTATTTCAAGTACAGTACTGTATACAATGCAAAAAATGCATAATTTTGAAAAAGTTCATTAGAATATTTAGAAAGGAAATCTTGAATTGGTCTTAGAGATGATTTTACTTCTCCAAAAATCTTATTGGATTTTCATGATATATTATACATCAATTCACTAGACTTTGTGCTGAACAACACACCAATTATTAGGACAAGCAGAAAAAGAGAAGCAAAGATTATTAGGTAACCAAACAATAATGGCAAGTGTTGAAGAAAGTTTTTTCCAGTATTTATGGCAGTATTGCTGACCTGTTGCAACCAAAGATTTGCTGGGCTTTGAGAGAACCTCCTGCTCCTCAAGAGAAGCTGCTGTGCTCCCTTCTTTCTTGATGGGAGATCTTGACATTCTGGAGGTCTGCCAAAAATTCATAAATTAGCTCATACTTGTAGCTTATAACAGTTTAATTGAAAACAATTCTTCTAAGTTCTAACACAGATAAGAACAAGCAAACCTGGACAAAGAACTTAGTCCAGTTTCAAGCCCCCATCAAGAAGATACAATGTGGCAATTTATGAAGAACCCTTGAGTGACCTAAGTCATGCCCCTGAAAAACCACATCATTGGACACTTCAAATTTTTAATCCACTGCCAAAGAACAGAGAGGATGGGCTTAGTCGCTGAAGAGCTCAAGTACCTATGGAGCAAAACATTGAACTTCCTGCTAGTATCTGATCAAGCCAATTGCAAAAAACTTCTGAAAAACTATGAACGCTGCAGAAAAAAAACAACTCCCAGCATTTTGATGGGAGTTTAGCCAAGGGATCAATGTGGTCTATAAATTTTCCTGCAATAGAGAGGGATAAACTTTCCTGCTTCCCCTTAATATTGACTTGCCCACTTGCAATAGCTGAGGCCCTTATCATTAAGGATGGGACTCCAGCTATCAACATTCAAACTACTGGATTTGTCAGAACCTTGAGAATTTTTCCAGTGTAATTTTTTTTAATTCTTGATTATCATCATATTTTCTTCATTTGGCAATAATTTCTAAACAAATTTATTTTTGAGTATGATCATATTTAAATAATTTTGTACTTATGTCATTCCAAATTTCATCACTCAATGCATCTTGTAACTGGATAATGGATGATACATTAAAAATACTAATAAGAAAATTTTCAATAAAACAAATTTGCTGGTCTCCAATAAATATATACTAATAGCATGTGAGTAACCATTGCAGCTTTCAATGCCACCTGCTGCAGCAGGCCATGCAAGGGGTCTGTGCAAATTGATCAGATCATGATAGCCCTATGCTGGATTTGAATTTTTCTACTCTTCAATAAAATCTCACAGCTCCAAATTGACAAGTTTTTAATACATTTAGAATCTCATGTTTTAATCGTGTACTTTAGTTAATAATTAGATAGGAGATAATTTATCAAGCAGAAATCTTGCGGCACTAAAAATGGAAGGGGAGAAAAGCTATAGTCAGGGCTTGAAAGGTATCTATATATATAAATTTCATGCAAAGCTTTATGCAATGCTTTAAGGAAGCTCATTTAGCATGGGAAATTTCCTCAAGAGTCTACACCTTTCTGAGTGTAAGCTAGATGAATTATCTCTCAAGTAACTGTTAACAAACATGCATGCGTCCAAAATGAAAACAAAAAAAAAATTCCAAAACTATTGAAAATGTGTCACTTGGGAGCAGCTCAAGAGTGGAGCAGTACGGTCAGTCTGCTGGAGTGCTGGGGCTAAATGCCTAAGCACTTCCTAAAATTCCACTCTGCTGCCATTCCACAATATTAAGAATAAGTTTTCAAAATCACAATCAAATAACATTGTTGGACTGGTATTTTTTTTAGAATCCATGGTGGAATTAAGCAGTTCTCATTATTTTTGACACACAAAATTAGAAAAAGATCATAGGAACAAGAAAAATCCCCCAGATTCACAGGAATTTTTGTTTCATTCAAAGGTGGATTCTGCCTAATTTTCCACTTTGGCAATCATGTACTTTTTTCAATAACAAGTCAACAAGATGATAGGTTATTCATTTAGTTGGAATCTAGTGGCTCCAAAGTCCAAAAAATGGCAGGAAAGCTCTAGTCCACTCCAGGCATGGAATATATCTACTTGGCAAGCCACGACTGAATTTTTCGAGCCGTGGTTTTATGGATTTGCCAGCCATGATTCCATTTCTTCGAGCTGTGATTCCATTTCACCAAGCCGTGAATTCCATATCTCGGTCATGAAAAGCCATCTACGAGGCGTGAATTCCATATCTCGGTCATGAAAAGCCATCTACGAGGCGTGAATTTATTTACAATGTCCATTGTCCATGCACGTGTTACCCCAAATCTCTAATTTTACCCTAAAACAGTCAAATGGCAACAATAAAATTTGTCTTTACTGTAAGTTGAGCATGTGTTAATGCAGTCTGACCGCTTTGACATGACCGCACTACAATGCTCAATCTTCAACAAAATGTTTAGTTGATTTGTTTACATTACGATGTTTGTTTTTTTCTGCAGGATATTTTGGCGGGAACGGTAAAGCAATACGGATTGCAGAAGTTGAGATTTTTATGAAGTGACATGTTTGTGAAGTGCAAACCGCGATTTTTCAATCAAACAAAAATTTATGACATTCGAGCCGCGAGATTTCATACCTAGGTACTGAAATAATATGATATTAGAGCTGCGATATTTCAGACAAAAGTAGGACCTTTCCAGCCCTGGTCCACTCCAAGCTCAAANAAGTGCAAACCGCGATTTTTTAATCAAACAAAAATTTATGACATTCGAGCCGCGAGATTTCATACCTACTGAAATTATATGATATTAGAGCCGTGATATTTCAGACAAAAATAGGACTTTTCCAGACTAGTGGAACACCATAATTTTTAGGAATGAAAAATGCTTGCCTTCTCTAAAAAGTAGGTATCAAGAAAACAAGCCTTCAACTTCAAGTGCAATTTTATCAATTTATTGTTTGGGCATAACACAATGCAAATTACATTCTGTACAGTGCGCAGCTCAATTTTGACTAAGCTAGCTTTGCTAGGCAGTGAGTAGGCACTAGCCACTAGGCAGTATCATTGGCGACATAGCGTGAACCTGACAAACTTTTCTGCTAATTCTCACGTGTAAATTGATAGTAAAATATAGAAAAATAGTCACATAATCACTACTACTTTACCTCAAATTACAGGCTGCCACGATGAGTCAAATGTCTTTCCACATCATTCTAATACTTGGGTTTTGACTAAAACTACTCCATTCATACACCAAACACACGATCTCAACAGTCTAACTGCTATAGATAAAGTGAATAAACAATGGCCTATGTTATGCTAGATTCAAACAATAATCGAACTAATACCTCAAAACAAATTATCAAATGCAAATTTGGATAGATTTTGTAGTCAAATTTCGCCTAAATATTAATTATTTGACTTTATTTATATATGATTATCTATTTTGTGTCTACTCGGTTGTAACGATTTAGATATGTGGGCTATGATTCGCTAACACTCGCTCATTTGTTTCATTTACATCATCTATTGAAAGTCGCATGGTGTTGTTGTTAATGACGCAAAACAAACTAGTTACCTTCATAAATTATGAAATTGCATCATTAAACAATGATTATGCCCCTGATGTAGAGCATTATTATAATGAGCGTATAAAAATAGTACATTTCAACTAATTTTTCGAAAGAGTTATTAGATCAGCCGGATTTGATGGGACCCTTAGCCTGAACATTGGCGTAGCAATATGAACAACCATTGCATGTTGAAGCTATTCAATCGGTGATTTTCATAACTTTATCAAAGTGAAACAAGCATTCACACTAAACTCGGTCGATTTGAAATCTAATCGAATAATTTTCATTGAAGCAACTGTGAGCTGTGGTTGTACTTCATGTGCTGCCATTTTAACTCCGGCACTTACTTGGCTCTGAAAGAGCTGAAGGAGTATTTTCAAGCTTATATTTAGTTGTATGGTCTGAGCTTTAAATTATAAAGAGCAAATTCTATGTTTCACGAAGAAATAACGCTGAATGTATTTCATCTCTGTAGAATATTGCCCAGAATATATCTAGTGAGTAACAAGCAAAGGCTTTCTTTCTTCTCTCAATATTAACACGGTACATTTGTCATTAAAGATGCATGATGATCGAGATGCTCAATTTCAACATTAAAATTTAAATAATTTCAGATCACCTCTGTTTCATCTTCTAATGAGTTTGACTCGGCACGGTGACCAGGCGTTTAAAGTTCAGACCAATAATGGAACAGTCTGCAGCGGGTTCGATCCAAGTTCCCTGTGACAGTTCTGGCCATAGTCGGCAAGTTGGCCGGGAGATTGAAGCAGTGAGTTACAGGACCAACGCCATTGCAAGATACACTAATTCTGAGATGTCTGGGATCGGCGACAGGTCACATTTGTAATTAATACAGGCATTATTAATGTGACAGGCTGATACTATTAATGTTACGACAACCAAGGACAACCTGTCGCTGGTTAGTGAAATTTAACCCACAAAAACTTGTTTCATTCAACCTGCCTTTATGGAACAGCAGGTAGCTAGGCACATGAATCTGCCTCGCGGAGGTTATAATCAAACCCAAACAATTTACTATATAAATCTACCTATGTTAGGCAATATTGAACCCCAGGTAACTGGCTATAGGTATGGATCAGCTGCTACTATGGAATATCGAACCCTGATCAACCGGTTACAATAACTCCCGCCAGTCTGCATAATTTTATAACGTTACAATCGTATCTAATGTAGGTAAATTTGAACCTTGTCGCGAATTGACTACACACAACTTGCCTCGAATAAAGTCTAATTAATTACATACGAACAATTAAACGCAACATGCTGTTAGTAAGATGAAATAAGCAAAAAAAAACATGGGGGCTATTTACATCAAAATTAACGGTAATCCCGAACAGGTCCTGGCTACACGCGACCTGCTATCAATGTGGTATGTTAAAGCGAAAATAACACCCGAATTGATGATTCGGAGACGCGGGCTCGTCTAACAGCTGAAGAAGTATAGCAGCCATCATGATACTGAATACAAATTTAGCTTTTCGAACACATTACACCCAGTAATGTGTTCGAACTGATATAAACAGTTCGAATACATTACTGGGGATCTACGCATTCGGAGCCTAATATTGCAGATATACTTATATCTGACCCATTGCTGATTTATAAATACATTTTGAACGTAACATTAATTAAATCCTAATATCTAAATCGTTAATAGATATACCCATAGATGTAGCACAGTACCGATAAAATACAGAATTCTAATCCAATTTCTAACTATTTCGAACAGAATTCCAACCCATTTTAAAAGTGATATACCACATCTTAACATTTTTCCGGAAATATTCAGTTACAGTTTAAATTCATAATTGTTGTTAAACAAAGTTTGAACCCATTACTGGTAATGTACTGTGTTTAACCAACAATTGATGGTTTAAAATGTTTATGTTCGGAGTTTGTGCCATCAATATTGATATAGGCCTACAGGGTGTTCATATATATTACATTGAATGAACGGAGCTTGTACCCATTACTTTTGATATTAATAATAGATGGTAGAATTTTCTTGTTGAAAAACGTACCATGAACGAATATAGTGAAAACATTATATTAAAAATTCCCTGGAGTTGATAAATTCTTTACATGACGATAGATCACGACGTTTGATCAGTCAACGTCATCTGACGGGTTGTTAGACTCCCTGAAAATTGTGATACATATAAAGCATTCGCTGGTCATTACTGTCGTTGCTGCTGATGTACAGAGTTGGAACCCATTACTGTAAACGTGTAGAGTTGGAACCCATTATTGTTAATGGGCAAAGTTTGAACCCATTACTGAAAACGTGTAGAGTTGAAACCCATTACTGTAAACGTGTAGAGTTGGAACCCATTACTGTAAAGGTGTAGAGTTGAACCCATTACTGCTAATAAGCAGATTTGGAAGCCATTACTGTTGATGTACAGCAACGGAGCCATTACAGTGTAGCCCATTACAGTGTAACCCATTACAGTGTAGCCCATTACAGTGTAGCCCATTACAGTGTAGCCCATTACAGTGTA